GGAGAAGCTGGCAGGTTGGGCTCGCATCTCCATCATCTACATTTTCAGTGGCATAACAGGAAACCTTGCTTCTGCCCTTTTTCTGCCCTATAGAGCGGAGGTAAGTCCAAATGTATGGTATTTACACACAAGTTATAACTCATCTATTATATAAATAGCACTTTTATTACTTGTGTTGAAATTACATTGAAATAACAAGAAAGCAAAAATGGCACTATTTTATATTTAAGTTCAGTTGGTCAGTAGTTGGTTAAGGTTATTTAGACATAGTTAGCATTGGTACCAGTTGGTTACCAGTAGTAACTATGTTAGGTGTGCATGTTAGGTGTGCGTACAGAAGAAAGAGACGTGTCACTGTCTAAACTGTGAGTGGTTGTGATTTGGTGTGTCAGACTTTGGGAAGGCTGCACTTTTTGCTCGTATGGGAGATATTTCATAGTTGAAAATGGTTTATTCAGGTATGATCAGCAGCATGCGCATAATCTGCCTCTGATTGGCACCAAACACTGTCTCCGCCCAACGCCCAGTTTTCTTTTTAAAGGATTAGTTTAATACCATTGTGGGTCGACAAAGAAACCAGCTTCAGCGTCTGGTGAATTGGATTACATGTTTTAAACAAAGACAATTGTTGCTTGAAAGTTGTCCACCAACCTGTGATGAAGAGGGCCATACTACTATAATACTATGTCACTAAATGATGAAGAAATGTATAATACCAGACCTTAACCTTAACTGAATGTTTGGTGACTTATTTAGTCTTTTTGAAGCAGAATTGTCATCTGTTTCCTATGAGCCAGGTTTGACATGTGTTTGTGTTGGCTCTGTGACACCTTGAGCCAGAAATCCCAGCATAGACTCCCCTAAAACAGCTACAGTTTCCTATCCCTCTGAAATAAGCAGAGGAAACACATGCAAGGCACAACACTGGACACAAAGAGCGGTCAAGCCAATTAAAGTGGCTAAGTGGATTAATGTTTAACTTACGGGAGACCTTGTACAACTACAGCATAAATGACTCAAGTATCAGCTGTGAATGGAAACTTCCTTTGCGTAAAACAGCTTTGGGTCTGGGAAAGCTGCTCTGGCATAATTTATGCAATTTTACTGTTTATTTTTGGATGTTCAGCAATACATTATCTTTTGTTTATTGTAACACTGCATACATTTGTAAAACAAGTTACTCTTAATTAAGTTTCTTATTACAATGCACAGGCGTGTTTTGGGTTGGGATGGTGGTTTAATGGTTTAAGAGTTTAGTGGTTTAATGTATTAGTTAGTAACTGACATTTATCTCTCATAGGTGGGACCAGCGGGCTCTCAGTTTGGTCTTCTCGCGTGCCTGTTTGTGGAGCTGTTCCAAGGCTGGCAGGTGCTGGAGCGTCCGTGGAAGGCATTTCTCAAGCTTGTGTGCATTGTGCTCTTCCTCTTTCTGTGTGGTCTTCTGCCGTGGATAGACAACATCGCCCATATTTTTGGATTCCTCAGCGGCTTGTTACTCTCCTTTGCCTTCCTGCCCTATATTACATTTGGCACTTTTGACAAATATCGAAAACGGATCCTAATTGTAGTCTCTTTATTGGCCTATGTTGGGCTGTTTTCGTCACTGATTGTTTGGTTTTATATTTATCCTATTAACTGGCATTGGCTGGAGCACCTCACCTGCCTTCCATTGACAAATACGTTTTGTGAGAAATATGACATTGACCATGACATTGACCATGTGGTGCACTAGTCCAAGGATGGATCAACTAAAGATGAGGTCAGAAAATCATGGTAAAAAATAAACTGCAGGAATCATGTTTTATCATCGACTAGAATGGAGAATATTGAAGAGGAAGATTGCATTTTGGTTGTGTCAATAGCTGTAATATCCATATAATGATTGGATACTCAGGAAATAATAACAGTAAATTGACTTTGACACTAAATCTTGACAAATCTTAAAATTTTGCGTGCCCAGAAAGACTGTACCAATGCAAGGACACACCCATTGCCTTCAAAACACTTCAGGGCATGTTTTAATGTTAAACTGTGCACTTAATTTATGTTGATTATGCACACATGAACAGGGACGAAGAACTTTGAGCAGTGAATCAAAACATTTTACTTTTTTATGGTACCAAAGCCACCAGTGCATGCTAATTTTTGTACATGAATATTACTTTTGTTACTCATAAGTCTCTGAACACTGTTGTGCCTAACTAAAGCATTATTTTATTGTTATGGTGGTCCCTAACAATGTGATATGATGGTATTCAGCACTCTTCATTATTTATCTGTAAACACCACAAAGGGTTTAATATTCTAAACAAACCTTTTTTACCTTTGTCTATTTGCCAGAGGGTTGTTTTAGTGGAATGCACTTAAAAGGCCCATATTACACTATTTTCTATGTTACAATGTTGTTTCCTCATCAAAACATGTTTTATTCACACGTTTAATACACAAACCCTGCATATTTAATAGACTTGAATTCTTTCGTCAAACAGAAAACACTCTGTTCCACCTTCTGATGTCATGTGGTAATACAGGAAGTGCTCAACTGTGTTTTAAAACTTCATACAGAGTAGAATCATTTGGATAATTTCAGCTCTGGAATTGCCAATCCACTAAACAAAATTTAAAAGGTAGCTATTGTCATGAGTAGTTTTCAAGTTATCACAAGGTGGGACAGAGAATTTTGAGCTTTAGAGATGTATACGGACTAATAATAAAGAATTACACAATTCCGGGTATGTTTTTGAGGAGTAACAACATTCTAACATGGCTTCACAAATCCATTTTGAGTAATAAAGGACCTTTAATGAGCTTGTTTTGTTTTGCTTCAGACTGTTACAGAGTGAGTGATGGGATTATGTATGTGAGTCATCAACAGGGTTTAGGGTGTTGTTTTTCATACATTTTGGTTGTTTTTTGTGCCTGTTGCAACTTGCATAAGAGAAGTGTAAACTTCCTCCTGATATTTATTAGAAGAAGGGCTTTCTTAGAGGTGGTTATTGTGGGGTTATTTAAATGGGACCATACAATTTACTTAAAATAAAAATGTTTTGTATTTCAAGTCAATTTTAAGTCATGTCAAAATAAACTCAAACATCCATCCATCCATCCATCCATTTTCTTCCACTTATCCGGGGGCCGGGTCGCGGGGCAGCAGCCTAAGCAGGGACTCCCAGACTACCTTCACCCCAGAAACGTCCTCCAGCTCCTCCGGGGGAATCCCGAGACGTTCCCAGGCCAGCTGAGAGACATAGTCCCTCCAGCGTGTCCTGGGTCTTCCCCGAGGCCTCCCGGTGGGACATGCCCGAGGGAGGCGCCCAGGAGACATACGGAACAGATGCCCGAGCCACCTCAGCTGGCTCCTCTCGACGTGGAGGAGCAGCGGCTCTACTCAGAGCTCCTCACCCTATCTCTAAGGGAGCGCCCAGCCACCCTGCGGAGGAAACTCATTTCGAGCGCTTGTATCCGCGATCTCGTCCTTTCGGTCACTACCCAGAGCTCATGACCATAGAACTCAAACAATCTGATATAATTTCCCTTCTAGGTTTAGCTCAATTTTAATGCTACAGGTGTTTTGTACTTCGTTTGAATAATACACATTATAAACAACCTTTGTTCTGTAGTGTTATTTGAAAAAAAAAAAAAAAGTATCTTCAAAACACAACATTTTCACATGGCAAAAAAATAAATCTAAAATATGCCTTCACAGACAGAAAGGCCACATTTCATGTACGTATTAATGACTTAAGCGTGTATTGTTTTTTTGTTTTGTTTATATATATATATATATATATATATATATATATATATATATATTATATATTTTTTTTTTTTTTATATAAATACTGTCTTATAGTTCAGTGTCCATTCCAGTCTTTTCTGTTAGCATCAGATCATTTCAGCTCTGTCAGTTGATGAACACTCAGATCCATAACTGCCGCAGTGGCTTTGGTGCTCAGCATCCACTGTTTCTGCGCATAAAAGCATGGCCCTGGACGAGGAAAAACATCTCAGTGAAAGTGAGTGGTCCCACTGTGATCACACTGGGACCCTGCACCGTAAATCCAGATTTCTGGTAGAAAGGAACCAGGAAGTCCTCACACATGAGCACAGCACGATGAACATGGGGCAAGCAGCGGAGGTACTGCAGGTATCTCCACATCAGGATGGAGCCTTTGCCCTGTTGACGAAATGTCCGGTGTACAGCCAGCACATGGATGTGGACAGTGGTCCCATGAGGCTTGTGGAGAGTCAAGGCATCCTAGAAATTTGGAAGAAATAAAATCAATCGATAAATAAAAGGCCTAATCATAAATAAATGCATAAAAAGAAATAGTGAAATGACAAATACAAATGTTAACAGAATATATTTTTAAACAAGAACTCTCATTTCTCAGACAGGTGCACAGGTGGACCTACCTCGTTAAGCTGCTCTTGGTCCCACAGTGAACCGATGATGAAAGCCACCAGACGTCCTTCTTCAAACCAGCCAAGAGACAACTCGGGACAGAGGGTGAGGAAGTGGCGCACCTCGTCCAGGTGAAGCGGGCACTCACCAGACACCGAGATGAAAGCTGAGAAAAATAATCAATTTGTCAGTGTCCAGTTAACACAAACAAGTGTCAACGTAGGCATAGACCAAGCCATTGGCAGTGTAGTCTACCAAAATAGCTCATAAACGATTTACATAAATTAATAGTCTAATGAAGAAATATACCTTCTCTCTCGATCTCAAACACACTGACCGCGTCTTCTGGGCTGAGGGATCGAAACTCGCTGGCGGGCAGCGTGTGTCTGCGTCCCTGAGGAGAGCGCATATACAGCGGCTTCATGAATGGCACGGCGTTCACCAATGACATTTTGACAGCACGACAAGTTTCTCGCGGATACAGTGATCAAGCTGGACTCTCTTCACTTGTCCTTGATGTTGCGCGTAACAAGTTGTGCCAAAGACTGAGCGCGGAGTGGCGCACCTGGGATTTATAGCCTGTGCTCGCGGTTTGTGATTGCAATCCAGCAGGCTTCATGCCCTTTAGTCAATTGAACAATGTGCATGTTTAGTCAGGGTCAGGAGGGATATCCCGGTATAGGGGATGATCCCCGTCATGCCACCTGCACGCACGAGCCACGAGGGTTTTACATAGCCTATTACCCCACTTGTTTTTCTTTGTTCTTGTTTTCCACTGACTTTATTAAATTTGTATTTATTTTAGTGAAACAATATCCACTTGTGCTAATTTTTTATTAATTTATAAAATGCCGTTGCTTTCACATCACTTAAGATTATTTTGAGGTATGCTAAGTCCTTAGTGACATGTGAGTTGACTATATATTATACCAGTCCCAGAAATGTTGATCACGATTTGTTTTTTCCACATCTTTAAGAGGATTATACAAAGTGTGGGAGGTTGTTTGTCACCTCTTTCTCATGCCCACATCTTAAAAGGCTCAAAATACATTTGCTGGAAATGTCCCTGCAGAAAACAGCAAGAACGATTTGGCTATCATATGTCCCAGGCCTCATATCAATATAATACAATATATAAACTGTTACATTATTAATAGCATCATACAACTTAATTAATAATGATAATTTGCTAATATTATGAATTGGTTTCAGTTTCCTATTATACAACAATTTGATCACATTTAATCACTATGGCAACGATCCTAATATTTAAAAATGTCAAATGTATAGCTAAACGTAAATCTGGCGCACTCTCATGCACACACTGCCCTCTGGTGGACGTTTTGTGTAACATTTACAGCGCCACGCGATGACGTTTTTCACTGCGTTCGTTACGTCGCGACGTAAACACGTGCACTCCGCTGCTTCCAGGTTAGTGTTTTTCATTCCTCCGTCATCCTCAGCTCAAGCATCACTCCCTGAAACAGCAGCAGCGATGGCGGAGCCCGGAGCATCAGACCCCACGGGCCCCTCTCCAGCCGTCAGCCCGGGCTCAGAACCGCCCTCCATGGCCCTGTCACCCACGGCGGACGGCTCACAAAGGCTGCTCTTTTCGCACGACCTGGTGTCCGGGCGGTACCGCGGCTCGGTCCGCTTTGGCCTCGTACGGATGATACACGGCGAGGAGGATTTTCATTCAGATTCAGACCTCGACGATGATGGTGGAGGGAGAGGCGGCGGAGGAGGGGGTGGAGGAGGAGGTGGACGAGTCCCGTGTGGTTCGGACACCGAGAGCGCAGTGGACAGCCCGAGCCGTCCTCTGGGCAGGGGGTTTGTTCGTGTGCAGTGGTACCCAGAAGGAGGCAAGCAGGACATCCGAGAGACAAAGGTACCACAGACACGCTAAGTCCTAATTGTTTGCTTAATACTCTCGCCAGTCCTTTTTAATTTGAGTTTGTGTAGTGGTCAAATATAACAATGACGCTTTGACCGGATAACACGGCATGTGTAATCTGCCCAAACGCACAACGCACCTCGCTAGCTGATAGCATCCAACCAGCGCACATGCTAACTAGCCCTTTAGCTTGTAGCCTCATGTCACTCCGCCGGTGCTGTCAGGCTATTTTGGCTTCTTTCCACAGACTGATACTTAGTGGTGCGCTGTTGTTTCTGGTGCAAACATCTAACAAATCCCCTTGCTTTGTAGATTAAAAGAGAGTCTTGGCAGGTGCATGTCTTTGGCAGCAGTCTTAAACCCATTGACTAGGACACCTTTGACTCGATGTTGTTGAACTGCCCTCATCTGGGTGTGACTTGGCCGGAGCTATTGTCAAACAGCATTCTTGGGTTCGCTAAAGAGCAATGCTAAATGTGAGTTTTAGGTTTCTATGCACACTGCAGACTTCGTTCTGTTTTTCAACTCACTGGCATGCAGAGGTATACTGCTGTAATCCTGTAATACTCACCAGGCTATGGTGTACTTACTGTTCTCAGAAGGACCAAATTGTCTAATTAATTCTTCTACAAACATTTGTAAACAATGTTACTAAATGGTTCAATGACTTTTAGAGGATTATTACCAGAGCTCTATTTTCTGCATTTAAGGTACATTTAGGACAGCAGATTCTCTACATTTGCCACTGGTTCTGTGTTGAAAGGTGAGGGGCCTGGAAAGCCCTCTATTGGCTGTGTGCATGTTGGAGATGAAACCAGAAGAAGCCTGTTGGGCTCTGCTTTGTTTTTTTTGTCTCACTGAGTAAAGTTCTGGCCCCAGAGTAACACAGGACTGAAACAATGTTTATAGGCCATGTGAACAATAGTGCAGTGTCATTAACACATTGTATCCTCACAGGGCTTGTTTTCTGTCCTTTCTGTAATATTCAAGTGAAGATACTTTGATTACTATTCAAATATTTCATTATAATGTATAGAAAAATCTATTGACAGACCCATCGTATCTGTTCTCTACATTTGACTTATCCTCTTACGTCTGTGGGAGCAGTGGGCAACTGAACAGAACCCACCGCTCTCTGAATCTTGAGCCAGGGTCCAAGTTTGGGTTATTAAGCAGGCTCTCCTATGAGAGAAGATATATGGAGGAACCTAAGTACTTGAAAGAGAACCAGCAGTCTCCATAAACACGCAGCAGGTAAAATCCTCCAGCGAGGAGCAAGATATCCTCAGGCTCTGCACTGTGGTGCCACTGCTCCTGACAGCAACAGCATTGAAGCATGTGTCAAATGGGATAAACGTCCTTACAGGGACCACAACCTGTACATTTCTTGATGCACAAGTATCACATTAACATGAAGCCCAGTTTTTATCTAATTTTAAACTATAATTGGTTCACAGTTCATACCCAAATACCAGATGGCCCATTGATTATTCCTAGGAGGCCATAAAAACTGGCAGGACAATGGTATTGATCTAGTCAGCTCATTGTTTCCTCACTGACAATAAGTGCACTTAAAGTGCATATGACAGGTTTTCATGTTTTTATAATTAGTTGTGTGAGTCTAATAATATTCTTGGCAGATATATACCAGTTTTGGCAGTTTATGAAAAAGTGATGTACAAATTCATAATAATTAATCAAGTCAGTATTTTTCAGTTCCTTCTAATTTGTAAGCAAGTTGACTTTCTACATTAGATAATACATGGCATAATTTAAATTACTCTTCCATTTAGTCCATTTAGATTTAGTTGATAATTCACTTTTAAGATATGCACTTAAGGTACTTTTTTGACCCAGCAGGGAAATGTGTCCTCTGCATTTGACCCATCCCTCTTTGCTGCAGTGCCAGGCCCAGGGGACCCATCTTAGTGATACTGTTGCTAGGCTCTGTCCAGACTACCTTAGCTGGAGGATTTTACCTATTGTGCATGTTTCGGGGTAGGACATCCACCCAGACACAAGGAGAACATGTAACCTCCACACAGAAAGGCCCAGGCGACATGAGAATCAAACCCAGAACCTTTTTGCTGTGAAGAATAAGATCCAGTCATTCGTGGCACCATTTCACAATTTTGAATGTTCTGATGACATTATAAGGGGGAAAATCATGATTATACCAACTGTCCAAGTATTAAGACTTCAGGGTTAATTTTTGATGTATAAACTAATTGTAAAATCTTAGAAAAATGCTGGCACAGAAAGTGTGGTAGCTGTGTGAATGACAAAGACCTAAAGGAACTGAATGATTTTAGGTAGTGAGTATGCAGTTCAAAAAGAGCTCTTAATGGTTTTAACCCAATGGATTCCAGTATTGAAACTGGCAACCCAAATGAGATTCTCAATCCATTTGGATAATTTATTTTGGGAACCAGAACACCAAATTAAAACTTAAACAACTTTGACCATAATCAACATGACAAATGTTTTTGTAATTAGTAATAATAAATTAGATCAGCATTACAGTTATTACTAGTAAAAGTTATATTTAATCATGTTAATCTTATTTCTGAGGACAGTTATTGGGAGTTAGGTGATGTTTGTGGAATTTTTAAGTCATAGGCTTTCTTTTATGAGTATTTTAGGCCAGTTGATCCAATTATGCACAGAACATCAGGTGTTTTTTTTTTATTCAGGTAAAAAAACACATCCAATCTATCTCTTTATTTACACACTCTGCACTTTCTGCTTTACAAAAATGTCTAATAACAAATAAGGAGACTGTTACATGAGAAGAGGTGAAATGAGTCATGTTCTTATTTTGGCAGGATCTTCTAAAGGTTCACAACTTCTGCAAAGAGTAATGTGGGCTGAGCTGTGCACCTGCTGTGCTTTGTGCCCATCTTTGCTGCTCTTTGTTTACTTTCAGAGTCCCTACATGCAGTTATAGGAGCAGCCATCAGACTTATAAATATTTGTGCTCATGATGACATCATCTTTGCTCGCTCCTCTCCTCTCCCATGGCTCCTGCCCTGAGATAATGGATCTCATGTGATGCTTTCTGCAGCCCCTCTCCTCTTCAGCCACTCACACATGAACCACTCTGAGACTCCATCAGGCTCTTTCTCTCCATCATTTATCACTGCATCTACAGTACCATGCACTGTGCACTGAATCTTTGTTTAAAATCTTGCATTTCTCCGGCTCCCTCTCTTGTGTTACCTGTGTGGATATCCTGGTTGTTGGCCCTGTCCTCATTCATGGGCCTTTTGGCTGAATACTGATGTTCCTTTAGTTACCTATAAACTTTTCAGCTATTTTAACGCTTATGATGCATGGGTCTAGTTTTTATATATATGGACTTTTTAAGATGTAGCTACACTTTATTGACCCTGTAGGTGAAATTTGCATTTGACCATCCTTCAGCGCTGCTGGGAAACTTGTCAAGGAGCAGTGGACATCCATTTCCAGATCTTGAGGCTTGGTCAGGACTACCTTAGATGGAGGATTTGACCAATTGTGTCTGGCTTATGGTTGATCTTTAGCAAGAAATTCTCAGATGAATAATTTTTGTGTTTTCAGACTTGTTTTCCATATACTAACTGTCTGTGTTTAGTATTTTGTCAGCAAAGGTGCCTGTTCTTCAAAGCAGCCTCAGTGTAATAGATGCCCTCTCGCTCTCTCTTTCTCTCTCTCTATCTCTCTCTCTCTCAGCTCAGTAGTCTTGTTAGCGATGAGAGAGCTTCGTCTGTCAGTGCCAAACAGGCGTGGCCCGGGGCTGCAGTCTTCTGCAGTCTCTTTCTGCCTCTCACAGCACCTGAATCATCATACTGTTTTAGGGCAAGAGTCAAAGCAAATAGTGTATTGTATTGATTATTGTAATCAATCTGGACCCCCTGCCTCGACAGCCTGGGAGGGGGCAGTACTGCTTCAATCAAAAATAGAGAGCGAAAACACAAAAATAGACACAATACCCTGACTGTCTTTTCTGTCCTTCCTCATCACACACGCCATAGCAACAGATGCTTATCTAGTCATTTTGTCCTCTAATTATTTTACCTAAACTGCATTGTTGTACACTGCATCATTCACTACACTACATCTTATCTGTGGCCTGAATTGTCCAATAAAGCAAAAAAAAAAAAAAAAAAAAAAAAAAGCCATTGTAAAATGAATTAATTAAATATCACATTATTTTAGTTCATGTTCATTTCATGGACAACATAAACCAAAACACAGTAAAATTATTTTTCTTTATTTCAGATAAAATGACCAGTACTTGATCTTAGAGATAATAATTAAGAAGGTGCAAAGTTTCAGGAAGTAGATGTGACACATTATTTTTGCACTGATGCTGATGAGAGGTTACTAGCGCACTGCAGCTGATTGTGCTGAATGAATATTAACAAGGCACTGTTTATCTGTCCAAATAAAGTGGTTCAGCTGAGAGTTCGGAAACATTAGGAGACGGCAGCAGTAACAGACTACAGGAAACATGGCGGCACATTGATTATGTTGCAACTGCGCACTCACTCAGTCTTATTTCCAGTCTCATCTGCACTCTCCTCCCAGCATTCATAGTACTAGGGTTACAATCCAATACCAGTATCTCCAATAAAAAGGAAAATAGATTATTATTAGCATTATAAATGATATGGACTATTCAGTAAATGTCCCCAGCTCTGCAGTCTATAGGCTTACACTCTTATATTTAAGAAGAAGCTTCTTAATGAATGTCCTTATTTGTACTGTGTTGCACTGTTGTCATGATACAAAATTTTCTAAGTCGATTTCATACTGATACCCTGATGATGATTATAAACATTTAGACAGCAGAATATTTTCAACAGTAAATTGTAGTACTTTCTTTTATATTATCATGTAGCCTTCTATTCAGGTAATCCATCTGTTGTTTAGGTCAGTAGGTTCTATAGGGGTCCATGGGCATATAATAGACTATGTGGTCTTGCACTTGTTCTGATACAGCTCAATATCATTCTAAATCTATTCAGGAAAGGTTTATTTCCTGACTTTTTTAGTATTGAGTTTTAGTATTGGTGTTGAAATGGGTATTTCATTTCTGTATTAGCTTTAGTATAAATTGGTATCTGATTTTCTATACTTTCGACAACCCTACTGTGTTGTAAAGTGGGTCATAAGTTATTTTTGATCAGACTGTTGTGCTACATGGATTGTTCGAGCTTCTTTTATTGCCCTCTCGAGCACAGGGTCAAAACTAGAGAGCAAAGACCACCTAAAACGACTTTGACACATGCGAAGTAGAGACCAAAAGGGTTTTGTAAAGTGGTTGTGTCTGTCCGTCTGGTCTGTAATATAACTAGTACTCGCTTTAGTTAGTACTTAAAGTAGAAGATTGTATTTGATTATATGTGTGGTCTGTGCATTTGCCTTACCAGTTTCGCCCTCTTAGACTGCTACAGTGCGACGCCGATGTGTTTCACTGTTTAGATCCTGGAGTCTTTCCTCTGCCACCCCTGTGCTGACTCTGCAGGTTTCCTCTGTGTCTCTGACAGATCACTTCTGTTATAACGGTCCGAACGTGACCCATTTACACATTTACAGTTTCAAGTGTTGTTTTTTGTGGGACTTAACAGACTATAAGGCTAGAATATTGCTTTAATTGTTTTTGTGCTTTTTTTTCCTTACAGCTAAAACTTGAAGACCGATCCATTGTTATTCGAGACATAGTGAGAAGAAACAACTCCAATGTAAGTATTTTACAACACTTAATGGACTTTTTTTTTAAGTTGTAGCAAACATACCTTAAAGGTCCTAATAGTCTCTTGTGAACTTTAAGCCATTTTATAATGATGTTACCTCAACAAAAACACATCCGGAATTTAGTTTGATTTACACATGTTTGTGTAATCCTGTATTATTTGTCTGTCTACATCTCCAGAGCACAAAATGCTCCTGTTCCACTTTTTGAGGTCAAGAAGCTATAGTTTTCAGGGTGGCTGCTGCCTTTTACATTTAGGTCACTAGACATCGGCAATTACAGGGTTGAAATTGTCCAAATGATTCTAGTGAAGGTGTATGGAGTTTTTGTGTGAATGAAACAAAATACAACTCCAGGTTTGTTTTTGATGAGGAAACAACATTATAACATAGATCAGAAAATAGCATAAAATGGGCCTTTTTAACACTATGTATGCTATGTAAAATTTCTGAAGAGAAGAGAGAAGGTGGATTTTCATGACAGTCTTGATTAGATTTGCACATAAATAAATAAAACAAAAGGATTCTAAGTTAAGTGTTTCCTTTTAGGACAACCAGTGTGGCATGGTAACCAACATTGATATTGAGTGTGCAGTAAAACTAGTTGGGACAAACTGTGTGTTGTATCCAGTGAACAGCAAAGACCTGCAGCACATCTGGGTAAGCACTCATGTGTCTGGTTTTGTTATTGTTTTTATAAAAGGCTGCTCAACTTTGTTTTTACTGAATATTGTGCCCTTTTCCAGTCTTTTATGTACGGAGACTACATTGCCTACGACTTCTGGTTGGGAAAGGTTTATGATTTGACGAATCACATTATCCTCAAGCTCTCAAATGGAGCCAGGTGGAGTCTTAATGCATGTATTAGAATTCATGTGGGCTTCACATGTCCATACATTCACACATGGTCTTGGCTTAGCCTGAAATGATTGTGTGTGTGTTTGCCTCCTGCAGGTGCTCGATGAGTGTGGAGGATGGGGCGAAGCTGTATGATGTCTGTCCACATGTCAGCGACTCGGTATGTTCGTGTCTGTCTACCATATCTTACATTATTATTATCAAGTCTTCTCTTCAGTGTTTTATCTTTGTATCTCACAGGGACTGTTTTTCGATGAGGCCTACGGTTTCTACCCGGGGCAGGTTCTGATCGGTCCAGCCAAAGTCTTCTCCAATGTGCAGTGGCTCTCAGGGGTCAAGCCTGTCCTCAGCCGAAAATGCAAGTTCAGGGTGGTTGTGGAAGAGGTAACATAATGACAGATTTTAGTGTAGCCTACATTTTGGATAAAATTAATGACATGGTTGTTTTATCAGGTAAAAGTAGTTGAGCTGAAGGTAACATGGATCACTAAGAGCTTTTCTCCCAAAGGCTCTGATAGCGTCTACCCTCCTCCCTCCACCATCACCCAGGAAAACCTCTGCAGGTCAGGCACATGGGACATACACATTATATTTATTAAATTCACTTACAAATCAAAACGGTGAATATACCAACTGCATTACATCCATATATTTACTTTCTAATAAAGCAACAAAATTATAATGCTGCCACAATGCCAGATTCTGGGCAGTTTGTGAACTTGCAAATATTACAAGAATTAATCTTGCTGCTCAGGTTACAACATTGCTCATGCAGATTTATATCGATACTGATATTCTGATGTCCTTTGGCTAGGGTGAGGCGCCTGGGTTACTATGACCACACTCAGAGGCAGTTGGGGGAGAGGGCATTGTACGTGTTTCCAGCAAAGGGAGACACCACACGAATTACCTGTGAGGGACCCGAGGGTGGCCCAGTCCTGCCTGACGACCTTGTGGTCCGAAACGTGAGTACTGCAGAGAAGCCTGGTTAAATGACTCAACCTCACCTGGATACTCTTACACAGATTAAATTTTTTTTTTTGTGATTCAGCTGAAACGGATGCTTAAGAAAGACACAAAGAAGACGGAAAATGCAGAGACTCAAGGTAGAGTTTTATATTTCATTTTTATACATCCTTTGTGAGTTCCAGTTGGACTCTCTAGATTTACTAGCTTCATCTGAAGTAAACCATCAAACAGCTGCATTTGTTTGGTTAATCGGTGATTTTAAGTTGTCCAACTCCACAGATCACAAACCGGAGCAGAGCGATGCGTCTCATCCCAACAACAACAATGGCCCAGCGGCGCCGCCTTCGGAACAGAACACACATGATGCAGCGATGGAGCACACGGAGCAGGATGCGGACGATGAGGCTGCTGATGACACAGATGATACCAGGTGAGAGTTTTATCTTTATTTAACACAGAAAAGTACAATACTGTCTGCATTTAAAAGTTTTTCTATAAAAGTTGGAATGTTTTTAAAGTTACTGCTAAACTATTGTTATTTGTTACTGAGACAACTTGCTAACTCTGAGTTTTTTCAGTTTAATAGGCTTCTAGTTTCTGTTTGTAGTTGTTAGTAACTTTATATTGTTTCCATAATCAAACAGTTGAGATATTATGTTAAATTAATTAATTATATCAAAATTCAAAGGAAAACAAGGACTACACAGTGCTGCACTCGCCTAGAAGCACAAATAAATTATATGATTGCTAATGTTGGTATTTCCAAAATTAGTCAGCATTAAAATGATTTCATCCTGATGTGTTTAGCCTTTAGTGTAATTTGCATTTTTAATGAAGCTGAGTCATTTAAATGTAATTGAGAAAGTGTCGTGAGGCACAGTGCCGCTATAATCAGGTTTATTTACCCTTCATCACAGTTGATAGAAAGTAAATTGGGTAAATATTTTTTGTTTTTTTTGTTAATGATTCTGTTGCTGTTGTGGTCACAGCTCTCTGACGTCTTCAGCGAGCTCCACAGCCTCGTCGCAGAGTGGCGGACTCACGACCAACCGCAAGAAGAGCATCCCTCTGTCCATCCGCAACCTCAAGAGGAAACACAAGAAGAAGAGGACCAAGTTCTCCCGCGAGTTCAAGCCTGGAGACCGGTCAGTGCCCACCATATGTTGACTGCAACTTTATTGAGTAAAATGTTTACTGTGGATTAGGTAGAAAAAGGCACCCATAGAAAGCTGTTGCAAGACTGTAAGTCCTAATTGTTTCTAAACTATACTCAATTACAAATCTGATACATTATTGTTGTTTTCTACTCAGGGTGAAGTACATTAAGGCTAAGGTACCCTTTATTATCCCTGTAGTGTAGGGATACATATTTACATAAGCTGTAACTAAACAAATTGTAGCCAGTTTTTACGTACATTGTAATCAAATAAAGTAATAAGCATGTTGATAAATGAGTACTTCTGTTTTGCAGAGTGGCGGTGGAGGTGGTCTCCACAAAGACCACTGCAGATGTGATGTGGAAGGACGGGCGAGTGGAGAAGGGCATCAGATCCAATGACCTCATCCCCATCCAGCACCTGGACGGACACGAGTTCTGTCCCGGGGACTTTGTGGTTGACAAAAGATGTAAGCACCTCTTTACCTGTTGGAAAATGTAGAAATCCTGTGTGTTAGATTTAGGTCTCTAGAGACTGGGACAAGGAGGTGCAAGTAGGACACCTGCCTGAATCTGGGTTGCTCCTTTTCTGTGCCAAGATTAGCATCTGTGAATTTTGTTTCATTGTCTTAGTTTACTTTTGTTTTGTTTCTGTGATACTTACTAAGGCTGTTAACATTGAAATCTGCCATGTTTGAAACCTGTAGAGATGCACTGGCTAAAGCTATGTAAGAAAAGTAAGCAAATGAACTGTAAATTTGGGTCATTTATTGTAAATACTCTTATCACTCAGTGGTGTCAGAATACTTAAAAATGTACTTTAAATTAGGGATTCAGCTGCAACATCTTAAAATCTCATTGGTTTAGGCTAACGGAAAATTGTAAAATGTGCAAGACAACACAATCCTGAGCTCTATTTAATGTAGTAATGTATATTTTCCTGCATTAGCTCAAGCTTCTCAGGACCCAGGAGTGTATGGAGTGATCCAGTCTGGAGATCATAAAGGCAGGACTTGTGTGGTCAAGTGGATCAAACTCAATTCAGCTGGAGACGATGTAGAGGTCAGTCCAGATCATAGAATGTATATATAAAAGGACGTAGCTAACCTGCTAGCCGCCACGTTCTAAATAGGAAGTTAACTTGGGCGCACGTGGGCGCACGTTTGGCTCCACATCGACTCGACTCCAACTCACTTTGTACTGAAAAAACATCGCCCCTCTCTACGTAACTGCTGCTGTCTGACTCCTCATTTTGGTCTTAAAATGTTCATGTTAACGCGCTCTACATGATCCTGGTGTTTTTATTTTGCTAATTTGTCCATAAATCCTATCCTACTCTTAATATGGAACTCTGCTCCAAATTAGCCCTATAACTGCCAGCCTTGGTTAGCTTCATTTGACTGGAGCTGAATACTACGGGTGATGTTACACACCCTTAGTACATTTCTTTATACAGTCTATGGTACAGATACATGTCACTGTCACAAAGTAGGTCCCAAATATACCCTGTCTGTGTTATGTTTTTGAGTTGCATCTAAAACCTTTTGCTTGTGTGAAATCAGGTGATGGGGATGGAGGAGGACGTCAGCGTGTATGACATTGCTGATCACCCAGATTTCCACTTCCGTACCACTGACATTGTCATCAGAATATGGAACTCAGAAAATGGACAGAACGACTGTGAAAATGAGGTGAACGTTAGTCCCATTTAAAAAAATAACACAAATATATGCAGTTGTATTTTGCCAAACATTGGAAAAGAGTGCAATTACTCCTGTTTAGGGAATTGTATTATTCAAATGTGCGACTGGCTTTTGTCCCACCTAATGTAGACGTCTGTTGGCCAAGTGTCTCGAGTGGATGTGAGCAGCAAAGTGGAGGTTGTGTGGGCAGATAACTCCAAGACTATTGTTCTTCCACAGGTACCATTTTTGTGTTTTTCAGTAAAGATTCAATTGAAAATGGCCTTATAGTAATCCCTGATGATAATTTTCTGTAAATTGCAGCATCTTTACAATGTTGAGTCTGAGATTGAGGAGACTGACTATGACTCTGTGGAGGAGACGAGCAGCGTGCTGTCCACAGAGGAGTGGGAGGATGAGAGTGACAGCTGGGAGACGGACAACGGAGTGACCACAGAAGAAGACAACCACATAAACAATGCTGACGCATCAGACACAGCCACACCCACACCCACTGGCTCTTCCACTTTCATCATCCCTCCACAGGAGGGCAGCAAAACTGGGGTCACCAGCCCCACTAAAGCAACCCCCTCAGAGGAGACTGAGAGCTCTGCCGCTGCAGCCACTCCTTTGTCTGGGGGAGGTGAGGTTATTTTAAAATGAATACTGTCCATTTCAAATGGACATTTATATTTAAAATGACTTTATTTTGGTTTGTAATTTCAGTTGAACCTTCTTTAGGAAATGCTGCTGTGAATGGAGCAGAGAAGTCAAACAAGGACGGTGCTTCTCGGGGACTGAGAGAGCTGAAGGAGGCACTAAAGATTTTGGAGAGCCTGAAGAACATGACCGTTGAGCAGCTGTTAACTGGAGGTTCCCCCACCTCTCCAACCTCAGCTGAACCCAGCTCCACCTCAAATGTTTTAAGTTCAGTGACTCCTACTGCTCCGGAGAAACCCACAAAGGAGAAACGCTTCCTGGACGATATCAAGAAGCTTCAGGAAAACCTCAGAAAGACTCTGGACAATGTTGCTGTTGTGGAGGAGGAAAAAATGGAGGCAGTGGTGGAAGCAGGGGCCAGCACAGTGCCAGAGGTATGTGAGGGGGTGTGTGTATCAGCATTTTAGGATAGGTGGTTTCTCTTTTTCTCTGGCTGATTTTCTGCTGTGTTGACCCTCCAGGCAGAGAAATCTGGTGATGAGAAATCTCAGCCAGAGGCTCAGACGCCGGTCGGAGGACCTGTGTGGTCCAGTGATTGGTCCAGTGACTTCCTCAGTGACACTCCGGTGCTGTGCCAACAGAGTGGGGGCAAACCGGGAGTCACCTTCACCAGTGCCAAAGGAGAAGTCTTTTCCGTGCTCGAGTGGGCCCCAGGTAAAAGAAAGAGCCACTCTGTTAAACCAAATGTTGAACATAATCAGTACTAATGAGCAATATTGTTTGTATTTACAGACACACATTCTTTTAAAAAAATGGAATTTCAGCCGGCTGAGGCCAAAAAGTTCTTTAGCACAGTCAGAAAAGAAATGGCGCTACTAGCAACATCACTGCCCGATGGGATCATGGTTAAAACGTTTGAGGACCGTATGGTAAGTTTGATATACTTTACACTAGGGCTGTGCCAAAAATCTAAAGATCAGTAGATTGCACTCTCTACATTGGTCAATCTTGTTGATAAAGCAAGCACATTTTAATTTTATAAGGTGTATAGTCAATACTGTGGCAATAAGAGCACATGGTGCTGATGAGGACTTAAAACTGTCTTGTTTAGGAAAAAGCAGTCAGGGCTACAGTGCGTCTGTTTCGTCACAAGTCCTCATGTTTTACAAGATTTATTTGAGGTCCAGTGTCTCCTCCTCTCTGCCGCTGCGTGCGGCTCTGCCGCTTCGTGTGCAGTGCTGTCTTCCCTCTCCCCCTCCCTCTCTGATCCAGCTCCTCACCTTTTCTCCTCTTTCTCTCTTCTGCTTCTGATTATTATAATCCAAGTTATGGAAAATTAATGACTCTCACCGTTTATGAGTGAAACCTCAATTCCTGATGGAGCGCACAGACAATGCACATGTTTCTGTTCGGTTTAATATATTATACAAACGTATCCCGAATTTTAAATATGGATTTCTCCAGAATTATCGGTCCTATCAACACGAAATAAAAATTGTAGTGATCCTGACACTCTGCTCTTTATATCTATGTGTTTTCAATAAGATGGAAGAAGATTGAATTGAAAATTGAGATCTATCAATATGGGAAAAATAAATTGTGATCCTTTTTTTTTTTCCCATATCACCCAGCCCTACTTTGCAAGATGAGAGGTAATAGGTATTTGTAACTTCTTTGTTTCTGTTTATTTTTTCTCTATAGGACCTGTTGTCAGCTTTGATCAAAGGTCCCACAAGAACACCCTATGAAGACGGGCTGTTTCTGTTTGACATCCAGCTCCCGAACATCTACCCTGCTGTGCCCCCTCTTTTCCGATACTTATCCCAGTGCAGCGGCCGCCTCAACCCCAATCTCTATGACAATGGCAAAGTGTGTGTGAGCCTCTTGGGCACATGGATTGGCAAGGTAAATACTTTTCCAAACTGCAATTGGTATGAATTATATTATCATTTCAGTTCCATTCCAATATGCATGTAGTATTTTTGCTACATTAACTCGGCTCTTTTCAAACATATTATTGACTTGTATGTTATATCTTGTTTTCTTTTGTCTGTGACTCACAGGGAACAGAGCGGTGGACGAGCAAGTCGAGTTTGCTGCAGGTCCTCATCTCCATACAGGGTGGGTGTGTCCAGATAAACACAGCTCCACTCTGCAGCACTCAAATCTTTTATTCATGAATTCATTTGCTCAGAGTAGTTAGACTGAGAGATGCACCGTCATTTGAGTAAATGAATAGTCTCTGCTCCAATGTAATCACTTATCAATTACATTTCTATTTATAAAAATGCTTTAATTACAAGTAGAAACAATGTCACTGGAAAATATCTGGAAATCTATCCTTTGACCTTGTGTATACCAGTATAATTATTTTTACACACAAAAAAATATATATATATATCTTTTTAGAGAATAGAGAAGTTGCTACAAATTCTACAAATCCTGAATTGAATATTGTAAATTGAAAATTTGCTAAATCTTACCAATTGCCCCGTAAGCCTCATCTACAAGTAACACTCATGCTGTAATCCCTTAGTTGTATTTCTTAGTGTAAATATTGTCTCATGTCTTAGGCCTGATCCTGGTCAATGAGCCGTACTACAATGAGGCAGGCTTCGACAGTGACCGCGGGTTGCAGGAGGGCTACGAGAACAGTCGCTGCTACAATGAGATGGCTCTCATCAAGATGGTCCAGTCCATGACACAGCTCCTCCAGCACCCTGTGGAGGTGTTCAAGCAGGAGATCCAACAGCACTTTGTGTGCAGTGGCTGGAGGCTGGTGCACCGCCTGGAGGTGTGGCTGGAGCTGAATGAGTCTGCTGAGAGGGGACACCGCTCCCACCTGTGCAAGGGCTCCTCTGTGGAGCCTCTGGATGAACAGCTGCCTCTGGGGGCGGGGCCTGTGGCTGTGGCCCACAGCAGTCCCTCTAAACCTGGGGAGGAGGGCGCAGAGGTGGGCTGCATCATGGAGGAGGAGCTGGAGGATTCAGGGCTGAGTCCGTCCACCACTGCAGCCTCACAGGAACTGAGCCAGACCTCAGACTGTGAAACCACTCAGATCAGTGCGACCGCAGAGAACAAGAGCATGCCGTCTGTGCCCGGAGTGTTGGTACGCAACGGGGCGTCAGAGACAGGGTCTGCAGGGGCCAGCTCTACGCCACAACCCGCTGTGCGACCAAAGAAGCGACGAAAGAGCTATCGCAGTTTCCTCCCAGAGGGTGGTGGGTACCCGGACATTGGCTTCCCCCTGTTCCCACTCTCGAAAGGCTTTGTGAAGAGTGTGAGAGGGGTCTTATTACAGTACAGAGCCGCACTCATCGCCGCTGGCATCACAGATAACACAGAGGACAAGTAAGTGCCTCCCCCGCTCCTGCTCTCTGTACTCTTCATCCTTCAGCCTCCTCATCCTCCTCAGCCCTTTCAAGTCGTCCATTATTGGGACGTCCAGAGCAGCACTGCCCTAAAGTCCTTACCTCCATGTTTTCACTGCTCTTGTGCCCAGACTCCTCCGCTGCAGGGGTACAGCTGCATTTGTCTCAAGACTGAATGTTTTGGGTGAGATTTGTTTCTCCCGCTCTGAAAGGGCACTGGACCTATGGGCACTTTGGAGTGGCCTGTTGTTGCACAGAAAGTCTGACTGGTCACTTTAGAAAAGCTTTTATCAGAATTAGCTGGATTTCACTTTGGTGGACCAGAAAGAAGGGACTAAAATAGACACAGTGCCATGAAGACCACTACACAATCTCTTTCAAATCAATGAGCGGGCTCCTGCTGGAAACCACTTAGCCGTCATGATCAGCCTCAAAGATGTATTGGAAACTGGCCACATATAGATGACTGTGTTTCACGAAATGAACTGCCCAGCCTCTTTCTGAGCTGTGGCTATCTGTAGCACTACTGACTGCTGTACCATCATGCACTACAACTAATGAAGGACAATCTGGTCTGGAGGCGGCGACTACACTAAATAAATATTTTGACCAGAAGAACCCTTTTTAATTAGAACTAAAGTGTTGTACGCTTTCTGCCAAATTTCTCTTATCCACCGCCACGCTACACTCTTCATTCATACAAGTACTGAATGTCGTCAAACTGCCAGCCTCTTTATCCTCACTGCTTGCACCAAAACCATGGCACTGCAGAGTCACAGTTTACATCTCATTTGGCATAACACTGCTCATTCCTCTTTCAACCACCAGGGGGCTTTGGTGCATTTTACTCATCATGGCCTCTTTACGGTCAACATTATTGCAGTTCAACCATTCCTTCCTTTCATATGGACATGTTGCCTTACTTGAATTATTCTTTCTGATCTCAGACCACTGCGTACACAGCTGCTCGTGTCTGAAACCACTAAAGCCAGTATTTCACTCCCTAATTGTGCAGCCCATGTTTTCCCCTCCAACACTGACTGTCCTTCCATTTTATGTGTTCAGAGTTGATCAGTCAGAATATAAGGTCAACAACAATAACCAGACCAAAAAAAAGAATACTATGCCTGACAAAAGCTAGATGAAGTTTATCATTAGACATGACAAAAACTATGAAATGAAAATAAAAAGGGTTTATTTTAATGTGAAGAGCCAGTTCCATGCTCCCACAAACCTGACTCGTTTGTTTCCTGGGGTAAACTGGAGCAGTCTATGTTGTTTACATATTTTTTACAAATATCTCGCATATGTGTCTGTTCTTTTGAATACTTCATACCCTTATTGTATTTATTCTTAAGATACAGGTCGGGCCAGTCCCTTGTGCTTACATTATTTGAGAATTACTAGAGAGACCTGTCTGCGGTTTTACTTGAATTAATGCTGAAGAGTGTTTCTAATTGAGAGAGCACATTGTGCCATTGTAAAGTATGAGTGATGGAGGAGAAAATGCTTTTTAAAGAAACTTAAGTAAAGGTAATAATAAATTTGGGATTTTCATTGATTTGTCTTCCATATTTCTTGACATTTTTCATCCTGCAGTTCTATCAAATGTGGCAATCAAGCATGTACAACATGAAGTCCTTGTGTACAGTACATTAAATTGCTTCCTTTTAAGCTACACACAAGGGCGTGGGGTCCAGCTTCTGTTGCTTTTCTTCCCACGTGTTCCTTTAAGACGCCACCCTCAGTTACTGTGACACTTATGACAAGAATGGTTTGAATAAAGCTACAGTCAGAGGTTATAACTGGATGAACTTACTCTCTCCCTACTCCTTTTATTTTACCATTTGTAAACGAGAAGCCACGAACAAAATGTGAAACAGGATCCAAGCACATGATGTACTGTTGTGTGGGTATTCATCCTTCTGACCATAATCATCATTCATTTTCTGCAAGTTTTGTTTTTCAGCCAAAGCATGTAACGTGTTGCTTTAAGCCCCTTGAACGGGCTACTCTCAAGACTTGACTGTACGATGTCTACATTTCCACAGTGGCCTGTTATTGATATATAAAAAGAACTAATAAAGTTATGATTTGTAGCCTGATTCTCTCTGTACTCTCTTAACTTTAGTTGGATAAAATTATTTCATACAAATCTGAATGTGTGAATGCTTAGGTCAGATTTCTCAAAAAAGCTCCAAGTGTGTGGATGACTTCTGCATTTTGGAAATTTGTAAAGTAAAAATAAGTTGAGACAAGGAATAATGTGATTTTGTTTATTAATCAAAAACATTATAGAAAATACAGACATTTGTCTAATGGAAAAATATAGCACTTTTAAATATATAATGATTTAAACTTCGGTGTCAGAAAAACACAATTCTATAGGACAGTAAAAAGTAAGAAGCAGCAGGTCTCGACTTAACAATCAATCAAACTGTGCCTTTGCGTATCGTCTTTACATTAACTATTTAATTTTAACTGACATCTTCCCATTTCAGGCCCAGGTAAATGATAACGTAGCTGTAATAATAATATAAATCAGGCTTGGGTCTACAGGAGCGCAAAAGGCAGCATTGCAACGTCGCTTAAAAATGTGCACTCTCATTTCAGGCACCTAAAGTAATAATGACACTTGATTAAAGCGTATTATGTTTGCGCTCCTTTGAAACTCAAATGCACCCTCAGTCAGTATGGTCTCCACCCGGGCCTGCTAAGAAATCAAAATCTCAACAAATCACATTTTACAACTTCAAGCTGCACAGCACAACTTTGTCTGGTGGAGGGTCCATCACACGCTTGTCTCCATGGAGATGTATCCACAGTATGACTTTAAACATATCCATCTAGCATTTATTCATTACGGGTGTTTCTGTTGCTCAAAATTAGAAGAACTCCTTGTATGACTCTCCACAGATCTGAATCGTAATGTAGCGTAGTGCTGTAACGTGCTTGTCTCCCTAATCTTGACTGTGGAACATTCTAGACATGGATAGACATAGATTTCCATGGAGACATCAGGTGACGGACCCTCCACTAGAAATGTTACGCAGTACACCTTTAACACAGCATTAGCAATACAAAAAAGTTAAAACATTCAAATTTGTGAATTGATTTTTTGAAGGCCAGCGATATAGTGGTTTGTCATCAGGAGTCGGCACCATAGCTTTAAAAAATTTCACATTCATTTGAACAGTTTTCAAACATAAACAATGCGCATTTTAAAACTAAACACACCGTAAGAACAACCAAGCCACCAACACATCCCACCACCAGGGGGCAGCGCTATCAAGGCACATCAAACACTTAAAAGACACTGCAACTGACACCCACTTTGCATCGAAACAAAATTATGTAAAATATCCAGGCTGTCCATCAGTAACAGTCAAGTTAATCTATAGGCCCCACCAAGTCAAAACAAAACAAAACAAAACAAAAAAACTAAGCATCAATTCATTCAAGTAGTTTTTCCAGCAGAATCTCTTTTGTGTAAACATGATTTTGAAGATTAGTATTTCAAGCATAGTACAATGAAGACAGAAGTTACATCAACATGTGCATGTAGAAAATAGTATTTTAATCTCTGAACTGTTCAATACGTCAATAAATATATAAAGAATCCTTTTTCGCCTACAGCCCACTTGTGAAAATTACAGAGGCTTACATGGACAGATTGACAGGGACTTTTGCTCAGCCCGTATCGAGCGGAGGAGAAGCGGCTTGCCCTGTCACGGACACAACGCCTCATGCAGCATTTATTTAGTTGATAGTCCCTCCCCACCCCCTCCCTGTACGTACAAATGAAGTCTTATTCTCAAGTGCACGCCGGTCTAGTATAAAATGCCCTAAAACAGTATATGAAAAACTGTAAGTCAGGTAGGAGTATTTGTTTTGTGTAGTGTCTTTGTGGTAGTGGATGCCTTAGTGATGACTGCTAATAAAGTCCTCTGGGAAGATTCTGTAGCTGGGGACAAGACACAAAACAAAAGTGGGTTGCGGCAGAGGAGCTCACAGTGACAAAACAGCATCCACCACATTATGCACCTAACCCCGTCTATCTACTGTATCTATCTACTTTATTAAATTACAGGCGTCTTTATGGCTCTAAAATAATGACTAAAACACGCATATTAAGTGGGAGTGGGGTTGACTCTCCACAGAACTGACCTGTAACTTGGATTTGTGGTGTCACCTGCTTGTTTCAAAATAAATCGAGCATTATCAAGGGCATCTGATGTAAAACTTTACCCACATGCTTTCACTAGAGGACTGACAGACTACAGAGAGTGCTGTTGAGAAGCACTGCACTGGTAATTGGCCTTGTGCACTTCTAAAATACAATGGAATGTAATGAATAAATAATGATTTTATATCCCAGAACTGACCCACAAGTGCCACTATGAGCTCCTTGTCCCACTGAGGAAGGGGAAGCAACAACACAAACCTTCCCTTTTAAATAAGATGCCATGAAACGTCATCTTTGCTGCACAAACTAAATACTCTGCATGCAATGAGACGACCAAATTGGGATCCCACATCAGTACTGACATACTGCATAAGCGGGACAAGAACTCAAATAATCTGTCCATGAATAAATTAAGTTGTTGAATCATTCATTGTTTTTCACGCAGTACATGTTCTTTCAAATATGATGGTGTTTTCCCATTTAAATGTCTGCTTTGATCGGATGAGAGATCATTTGGGTTACTGCGAGAGCTGGTCATGTGACTCTGGTCTGTTTTGTTTTTGTGACAAAGGTTGAGGTCATTGAAAGGTGAAGTCCTCAAGTAACATCACAGGCTCCCACAAAGAACAGTCCTGGTACCAAACAGACTGTATAAAGAAGTGGACTAAGGCAGCGATCGGCTCCAGTTAAATGAAGCTTGTCGAGGCTAGCAAGTTATAGGGCGAATTTGGAGGAATAGGAATTTATTTGCAGACAAAAAACACCTAGCTAGGCTGGCGCCACCTAGTTCCTCCACTCAATTTAATTTCTCTTCAGTGACTAGGTCAGGAATTGGAATACACTAGACGGTTTGCAAAAACCCCAGAAGTGCGAGTTTGGGCACCAGCCAATCAGCGAAGAGCCATATATTCTGTGTTGGCAACGATTCCCGAGATCAGGGATTTAAAACTGGAACAAAGAGAATGTTTGGTGAATTTTATCAAGGGGAAAGACACTATTGCCCTTCTTCCTATGGATTTTGGGAAAAGCTTAATATACCAGTTAACCCTGTTAGCGGTGCATTACATACATTACGACGAAATAGCAGCGATTGGTTAAATGAAAAAAGTACCCGCCTACCATCAAGCGAATGAATCCTAATGCTGCGAGGTCAGACAGTTTCTACCAAGTGAAACCGGCTGACTCAACACCAGGATCATGTATGAAAATTTTAAGATCAAAATGACGGGGCACACTGCAGCAGTTACAGAGAACGGAGACAATGGAGACAAAAACGCCCCCATGAACACTTCCTATTTGGAACGAGGCGGCTACAAGATTTGTTATGTCCACTGATATATACAGTCTATGGTACCAAAACGCAAGTTAAATATGTGAATACTTATCTGTGTGGCATTTTAGTGGGGTATTTTTCTAATGTTTGTATGATTATAAGGCCAAATACCAAACATCTATAACAAGTCAGCTGTTTTCAGTTGATAATATTTTAAGTGATTTTTTTTATAGCTGCACAGTATACTGTTTCATACAGTAATGAAATAATATGTTGTAGAAAAACTATTCAAAAACATTTTAATGCAGGATCTAAAGCACAATAAACCTCCTCTTAAGACATTCTGTTTGTAGAGCAGCCCTTTAGAAGAATATTTTTGTATGTTATATTATATTATCTTATCTTAGCGTTATATTTATATTATATTTCTTATAATAATAATTCTTTAATAATTTAGGTTCATGCTGATTTGTTCTTAACTTTCTCAAAAAATAAAATGAACTAGCCTTGCATCTATCCTGTCCATTGCAGGATACAGTACACCTCATCAAAGGCCCAGAGTTGGCATAGGCTCCAGTATCAACAGAAAATGCATAATATTGATTTTTAAATTAAATTATCCAGTCTTACATAGTTGTTACGTTGAGGAGAGTGTTTTCAGTATTTTCCTTTCATCCAGTTATCAGCCTGGCCAGTCCCCTGTGAACCTCCGCCTGCACCGGCCCGTACTCCACCACCTCCCCGTCCACTGTAATGATGCCTTTGGGGGACTGCGGCTCCAGTCTCAGAGCGTGGACTTTGGTGTACACCAGATGTGGGCAGTTTGTGGTCAAATGTGTTCCTTTTTCCATAGCAAGGAAAAGCTTTAGCAACGCCGCTCGGGATATTCCAGCTTTAACATAGATTAGATGAATAAAACCGTCATCTAAAGTGGAGTCTGGTGCTGTGAACAGATCCTCGGCTAAATGGGACTGGTAGATCGCTAACATGAGGACAAACTCTTCCTGCGGCACAACCACCCAGTTACTTGGTACGGGCTGGTCTAAAGGGGGTAGCAGAGAGTCCGGGGGGCCAGGGGGGGTTAGGTTTGCATTTCTTTGCAGGTTCTCTCTCTGCCTTACTTTAACTGAGTTGTTGGAGTGGCATGAGTTCTGTTCAGAAATTGGCCCACAGTTGTCATTAGAAAAACTGTACAGATTTGAAGCGGGCCACAAAGATGTCTTCTGCGTGTGGTTTTGGTCCTTGTGGTTGTCCAGTGTAGCAGGGAGGTAAGACAGTCTTCCTCGATACACGCGCAGTGATGCCAGTCTGACCAGTGTCCCGACAGTGAAGCGGGCAGCTCCAACATGGCGGTACTTCTCACTCTCGATGTCCACGTCAGCCACGAAGCCCCAGGCCAGAGACAGGAAGGAGAAGACTCGTGATCCAGAAGGTAAGTGGATCGAGACCAGATCCATGCGGGACACCAGGCCTTTACAGATCAGGAAGCCACAGCTGATGAGCAGCTCCTCACTGGAAACAGGGGTGGACCTAAAAACATTCACAAGTAATTAAGGATGATGATGTCAAGGTAATAGAGATGGGACAATAAGCCATTTTTTTATCATGATAAAAAAGAGTAGACAATAATCGTTTATGGGGCATTTCATTTAATCTTCATCGTTCTATAACACCTGTTAAAATATAGAACCTATTCATAATGTTAAAATTATAATTATTAATATCCATAAAATGTTTAAACTGTCAGCAACTTTAATCATTGTTGTCATATTATTGTTAATTGCAATTATTTCAATATTGTGCCATGCCTAGAAGCTAAATCATGAAATCCCTTACAATCACTTATAAATTCAATTAAAAGGGAAAAAAAAAAAAAGATTTATTTTTGGCTCAAATACAGTAGCTATAGTTTTTGTGTTAGTATTGTTACAGCAATGCACTCTAACTTTAATAATATACATTAAACATTTAGTTAATGTACACACTCTGAAAAATCAACCTTCATGGGCTCATAATGATTGAAATAAAGCTTTGTATTTAGACTGATCCATGCGTGTTTCAGTAGTCCTAACTCCTGTATTGTTCTGCTTTCAAGGCTTGAGTGCTCATTAAAAAAAATTAAATCTCCTTTTCCACCACTGCACTTACATATGATGCACAGTGAATGTCCTCAAACATATAAGACATGTTGCAAAGCTATATTATAATGAAAAAAGCATAATATAAATAATATAAATGTATTAAACTAAATTGCTCTTAACTGAGGAAACAATTTTACCAAGCAAAAAAAAGAGCGTTACAAAATACTGTGAGCTTTGATGTGATATTCCTCATAGGAGAGGTTTTGTGATTGGACATAGACAGCTTAGGGGACAACAGACAACAAAGGACAGGCCCTTCTGGGAGAGCATGCGCGTGGGGTCAAAGGGCATGATAACGGCTCTCACGTCAATTACAAAGATGGCTGCTTGAGGTCCCATGGGTGACAGCGCCTCAGTGCATCCATGCATTTTCATCAAATGCAATTTATTCACGTCTAGGGGAAATATTCAGCGGATTTCAGACTCTGTTTAGTACGGCAATGTGGGACAAGAAGAAATAATACTGTTTTGTTCTATAATTTATATATTTTTATTTGTATGCCTATATTTATTAATTTGCTCATTTTTTTGTCTTTTCAATCTATTCTAATTTCTACAAAATTGCTACTGGTATAAAAACTACATCTAAAGGACTCATTAAAGCCCCTATATTACACAAAATTGACTCTTGTGAGCTTTAAACTATGTTTAATATTATTCTTCTTATTTTTTCTCATTCACACACATTTGAGTAATCATTCATTTTTGTGTTTTTTTGTTTGAGAGCCTAAATATGCAGGATTTATGTGTTAAACATGTGTGAATGAAACAAATCTCAAGTCCAGGTATATTTGTGATGAAGAAACAACATTTTAACATAGATCAGAAAATGTATAGGCCCTTTAAAGAATAACTAAAGTTATTTTTTAGTTTGAAGGCAAAAACGGCACTGCTAGCTAGTTACTTTTTAATATTGACTATCTAATGTTTTATATATTTCCTGCAATTTCTTTAGCTCACCACCGGAGGGAGACTGTGATATTCAGAGCAGAGGCATTAGAGCAGTTTGGTGAGTTGAATGATCCCAGAGATGTTCTAGCTGCTGCGTGCTGGTTGCAGTCTGTGGGTAGCCTCACTGAACCCTTCATTGAGCTGCAGATAAAGAGCGCGTTTCTGCCCCGGGACCCGTTCTGGATGTGCCCAGTGCCACAGGACAAAGCAGCGTCTGGTCTCTTCCTCTCATTGTCCCAGTCTGCACACAGCCCATTGTTGCCCCACTGCAGGATCAGATACAGGGAGGAACATACCACGCCAAGAGTACCCCTAAAATGTTTGGTATTCAATGTGGGTTTCAGCTTCCTGTGATATGAAACATTTTACAGATTTTTTTGGTTTTAAATTGCTTATTTCAGAATTGATTCTGGTGAGCTTTAATGTTGTTACCTCCTTAAAAAATACCTGGAATTGTGTTATGTTTCTTTCAAATATGTTGGAGTAACCCTTATTATTAGTCTGACTACAACTCCAAAGCTCAAAATGCTCTATTCCACCTTGTGATGTCATGAAGTGGTAGTTTTCAAGTTATAACATTATAACATAAATCAGAAAATAGTTTAATATGAGCTCTTTAATCTCCTAATTTGTGGTAATTCTGAAAAATGACTGCCAAAAATGACAAAAAGCCTTGAGAATTTTTATATTGTCAACATTTAGGGTGTGTTTAAGTTTGCTCTGGTTTGGTCCTGTTTTAACCCAGAAAATTGAGAAGGTGGCTACTTTTAGTTAAAGTCTAGTCTGGTTTGTAATGATGATAAAACTTTGAATTCATGGAACTCCACATGTCAGCCAGTCTTTCATCAAATATTAATAATTTGACATCATATTCTTACAACTACAGAGCTGCACACAACCATTTCATGATAGGCCGGTCACAACTACAAATTTTGAGGTGTGATACATAGATGAAGTAAATGTAGACAGTAAACAATAATATGCCAATAATATAAAAACCCAAGAGCAGATTTAAACCACAAAAACTATTCTGACTCTACAATATTGTTAAAAATCATGAGCTGCAATACATACAAATTAAACACTTAAGGAGTCAGTTTGCATCTGTAATGAGTCAATGAATTTATGTATTCAACCTTTTACAGCAAAAACATACCCAAAAAATATCCAAAAATGTAAACATGATAAATATTGACCCCATAAAATTCCAGCTTTCACATACCGAACATTAAGGCGATTTAGTAATTATCGTGACGAGCCGTGCTTGCTACTGCTTGGAACTCGTTCTGTCCTTGGTGTCCTCTGGCTGCGTTTGCTCAGTGTTTTGGTTGAATGAACTGCAGCCAATCAGTTAAATGAGCAAATCATTAATAATACAAGAGGCCTTTTCCATCAGAGCCGGAGGCCTTCAGATCCGACTCTGCACTGAAGGATTCTGGGTAAAACTCAACCTCTGACTTTGAGATGGACCAATGACTTTTGCCAACATGATGCTATCCTGAGGGGTATGGCCATTTTTGATAAAGACATTATTATTTATAGAAAGGCATTTTAGATTTTGCTCATATAAGCTGTCATTCTGATTTTTTTATCATAGTGCCCTCATTTGGCTTTGACCCTTGTTGCATAACATGATTTAAACCGGGCTCTAATACGCACATGCAATATCTCATCAGGATGCTATTATTTTTTTATGTTTCATGGTGCACTTTGAGCTTTTTGCACATGTTTTTCCAATGCTGTTTTAACTACAAATGGCCAATAAAGTTAGCCAGGCTGGCGCCACCGCTCTGCTCAATTTCATTTCTCTCCAGCGACTAGGTCAGGAATCGGATGGTTTGCAAGCACCCTGGAAGTTGTAGACCACACACCAGCCAATCAGCAAAGAGCTGTGAAGCCATGACAAGCGCCTGTCTGAGTCCCTTTTGTGGTAGCACAACAGTAAACAAAGCGGTCGAGATGGATGTAGACAAAGCCATACATTCTGAGTTGGCAATGATTCCCGAGATCAAGGATTTAAAGCCGGAACAAAGAGAATGTTTGGTGCATTTTATCAAGGGGAAAGATGTTATTGCCCTTCTTCCTACAGGATTTGGCGCATTACATACGTCACAACAAAATAGGAGCGATTGATTAAATAAAAAAACATACCCGCTTACAATAGAGCGAATGAATCCTAACACTGTGAGATGAATGAACTAGGCTAAAATAAAGTAACCTAATCTAAAAAAAAAAAACCAACAGTGCTGCCATTATAGATACAGATAGCTCTCATATATGTAACAGATATATAACATGATATTGTACTGACCCAGAGTAGTGGTGCACTGATGCTGCCAGGGCATTGCCGGAGCCTCCTGGGAGAATAGCCAGGGGTGTGCGGATGGCCTCCTCCCAGTCGGGACGCTCCATCAGGCCATTAATCACCTGAAAAACACAGCACTGCTTTTAACAGGACACAAGGAAAACCATTATAGGACAGAGTCTACACAAGAAGAAAGATGACACTTCTGTCTATACAGTTTCATTTTTTTTTAGAAACTATGAACCAGACGCTCTGTGTTCTTAATAAAGATTGAATTTAATATATTGCCAAAAACATGACAAAGGACATGTTTTCAGGAAGGTTCGATGTTGGTCCAATTATGATTATTCAAGATATTGTGTCAGCAAAAATGTATTACTTTTCTGTGTGCAGTGGAATCAAGGTGCTTAAAAATGTATCCATACTTTACAATAATGATATAAAATCCTGTACAATACATTTAAGGGCCCATATTATGCTATTTTATGCTATCTATGTTATAATGTTGTTTCCTCTTTATAAACAGACCTGGGTTTTGCTTTGTTTCATTCACACATGTTTAACAAACAAACCCTACATATTTTTTTTGAGTTCTTCTCTCAGATATGTTACTCAAATATGTGTGTATGAAACAAAGCACAACTCAGGTATGTTTTATGATGAGATAACAACATTCAAACATGGTTTAAAGCTCAATTTTAAAGTAATTTTTATGTAATATTGGACCTTAAATCATGGAGTCATCATCAATATTATATTATGGGAAAGAACATAAGTGTTAGCTCAAGTAAAATGTAACATTTTGTATTTTTCTCAGTTTCATTCTAGTTAAATTGCTCCATGGATTATTTATTGTCAGAGAAGATAATCTGAGCATTTCCTGTACCTCAAACAGCAGTCCGTCCCCTGACATAATCACCAGCCCGTCCCACTGAGTCAGGTCCATGTCCCTCACCAGCTCGCGGGCGTGGTTCTGCCTCTCTGCAAAAACAAACCCATTTACACAGGTGCATCCTCACATGTGCGTTTATTACACAGACCTTCCATGTCGGCTGTCAGCTGTCAATAAAAAGGTCAAAGGTCATGGTGGTCCTGACAAATGCTCGAGGAGATTGAGGGTGTAATTTATTCAAATCCTGTGTGCAATCTGAGGTCAATCTAGATGCAGGCTTAGTGTTCCTCAGCTGCTCCCTTTGCGACGCTGAATTTGAGTTTCACAGTGGGAGGGAAAGCTGATCTTTGCTCTTAATGAAGCATCTAGTGACCTGCCAATAAGAATGAGAAGGAATTGGGACTCAAATTAACACAGGCCTGCATCATGTGGCACAGGACAAGGCTTCAGTGATAAGACTTCTGCTTATAATCCTTGAACATTTAGTAGAATTAATTTACTTTCAATTATTACTTTTTAAATATATTTTTTTACAATTCAGTAGAAAATACTAGTATGTATTTTGATTGTAATTTGATTAATAAATAGATCGATTTCTATCTTCTCAACTCTGGTACATGTTTACTGTGACTAGGTGAGTTAGTTTAGATCTGGTTAGTTTTGTGTTTTGTTTATGTTTTGACTGATGTATTTTGTGTGTTTGTATGTACATATTTTACTCAGTTCTTTGTCTTATGTCTTTATACCAGTATAATATTCCAACAATACTGACACAAAAAGATTAATAGTAATACAAAATATTTTTTTTGAATGATTCTGAGCTGTAGAATGTAGAATAAGGGACTTTAATTCTGGCTAATTATTGCTTCATTCTACAGTTTTTTAGTTGCAACTCATGCCTTTTAATAATAAAAATAAATACATTAAAAGTGATGGTTTGTGTTAGTGGCATAAAGCCGTTTTAATACTATAATGTATTGTTATATTTCTCTGTAGCATGTAGTATGCTTCAAAATGTGTTATTGTAACAGGCCTCCCTCTGAGCTCTGAGCTTAATGTCTTTATGCTTTGTATTATCCATTCAAATAAAAAGTAAACTAACTAAATAAACTAATCATAAAACAAAATTACCACATGTAAGATAAATTAAGCACAAATACAACACTTGCTCATTTGAATTGATCTTACCTAAAGCTCATCAACAGTTCTTTTATCTGCTCATTTGCAAGTTATAGGTTAAAGTTTTTACATCAGATGCCCTTCTTAACACCTTGTGAATTTGGAATTTCTCTCTGACCTGAATATTTTCTCACTCCACTTGACAATCAAATCTGCCACTAAACATTGTTGATTACCTACATTCTTTAATTCAGGTTTCCTCATACCTCAGAAGACAGTCACCTGACCAAACAGCACTTTCTTATCATAACAGTGAATAGATTTAAACCTGCTTGCTTGCTTTTTCCCACGTGTTGGACTCTTCTTTGTTAACGATGCAGCAACGCTATCCCATCTAAGACCTGCTCCATATCCACAGAGACAGATCTGATTTCTCAAGGCCTTTGTTGTAAACCTAGCTCCTCTAAACTCCACACAAAAGAAGAATCAATTTGCCCAAACCAGTCCATCCACATTACTTTATCTGGTACAGGCACAGAGAAGCTTTGGGAGAGAAGAGAGGACAATGAAGCAGAGCAGCTGTGAGTTTGACGCAGTTCACTTTGGGCCACTGGGAGAAGCACCGAGCTGTGACTAAACAGGAGGAGCCATGGAGACCTCTTGTGCACTGCGGCTTTTAGTCTATATATGTGTGTCTATGTGTGTCTATTATCCAAACACACAATTCAGCATAGTAATGGCACAGCACACTAATAAGACCTAGTTGTAACTGGCCCAGAGAGTCTCTTGCAATTTTATTTATAAACAAAGTTGTTCTGCAGTTACTTGAGATAAATAACAGCTACATAATAAATTTGAATCACTTCTGTCTTATTTAATATTTGTTTAAAGGAAACCAATGCTGATTTCAGTCTCTGGTATTGGTTGATATCAGCTGATACTTAAAGATACAGTATCGAAATCAGTATTGGAACTGAAAAAGCTGGAGCTGGATCGTTGCATTTCTATTCATGACTGGATAAGTTTGTTGATACATTTTTGAACTAAAGATTTTTTAAGAAGATTATGTATTAATGTTAAATATTTTCTTCATGACTCATTGACAATACACAGCAAGAGGGGTCTAACACCTTGGCAGAGGGTGTCTTTTTACTTTGCTCAAATTAAGATTTTGTACTGGGAAAAAAAGTGTACATCATCCCAAGTGAGTTCAGTCTAAACATTGGTCAGTCTTTTGTGGCCTGCCAGTGGAAAGGAACCCAAAGTCAAAACAGTTATGCTGAGGTGCAATTACACTGAGTGGTATCAACCACTTTAAATAAGCATGTTTCAAAATAAAACAAATTGCAACTTATTCATGTAATAATGGTGTCCTGAATTTTTGACAGAGTTGTTGAATCATAAATAAGTATCTAAGTGTGAAACAAAAGATAGACCCTCAGAAGAGGGATGGGACAATACACAAGAATATTGTTTATTGTGATAAAAAGGGTAGACAATAGCCTTTGTAAGACATTTTATATAATTGTCATAATCACCATTTTATCACCATAATGTTCTGTGAAAAATTACTACAAACAATGTTCTCTTCTAGATCACTGTTATTTTCTTTGATAACAAAGTACAACACCATAGCAGTTGCTTAAAGATGTAAGATGTTCCCTTAGTCTGCCCCAGGGCAGCTGTGGCTACAGTAGTAGCTTATCACCACCGGGTATGGAGTGAATGAATAATTCTCTGTAAAGCATCTCTGAGTGTCCAATAAAGCGCTATATAAAACAAATGCATTATTATTATTAATTAATCCATAATTTTCTCTACCATGTGACCAATTTTAACAATTATCGTGATATAATTGTTGCAGTTATTTTGACTACGATAATCAGGACACAAAATTTCTATATTGTTCCCTGCCTTACCATGCCCATACCTTGGAAGGATCAAGATTTTGGAGGATGTTTACCCAAACTATTAGCACGTTGTAGAGACACTAGGGATTGGGGACTAGGGAGTTCTCTCTACTACACGCTAACATGATCACAATCTCTGTAGGAAGATTGAGAAGCAACTGTAGTATTTTTAAACCATTTGAAGCCACATGAAAATTGATGCTCATGAGATGAAACCAGTCTGTGGGGATTTTGATTGTTTATCACAACTATCCATATGTGTGTGACATAACAGAACGCACGCATGTGGGTCAGAGGCAGTTGATTCACGTAACACTGGTGACAACAACACACAGGGGATTTAACAAAGGAGGCGGGACTTACAGGGCTGTGGTGTAGACTTGGCAAGAGATAGATAATGCTATTTATTTATAATTTTAAATAAAATGTTGTGTCATCAAAGCTATGTATGTGTGTGTGTGTGTGAGTGTTATGTCATTTCTACACAATGCTGATATTAAATACTAGGTGACATAGCTGAAAGATTCAGATTTAGATTTTATTAAACCCTTTGGGGCAATTCGTTTGAGTAGTAGAAAACACAAAGTGACAAACAAGCATTCAACACATGGGGCGATTCTGAACAAAGGGGAGCTCTGAGGTAGAAAAAGTACTCAAAAAAAAGACTATCTATGTTGTAGATCTATGCAAAATTTAAAAGGTGAATGGTAGTAGGAATAAAAGATTTCAAATACCTATTAATTTTTGAATAGAGGACAACATAGTGATAGTGATGGCCTGTATCAGTAAAGAAAACTCGCTGTTTAAAATATGACTCTGTGCACTAAGAATCACTTTGGCTTTTTGTAAAATGAATGTGTTACACAAGGAGGCCAAGTGTCTCTGTCACTGAGAAAAGTGATAAAAAGTGGAAAGACTGACAGAAAAAGAGTTAGCTTCTTCAAAAGGTGCAGTCTCTGCTGGTCACGTTTGACAACAGATGCAGTGTTAACATTATTTTATTTTATTTTTTATTTTACTCCCTCACTTGTTTTGCAGCTGATCAGTTTGACAATTTGTTTTATTTGGGATACTGATGTGAAGTTAAACAAAAATAGCTGGCTGAAAATAAGATAAAATGCTTGTTTTTGCAGTCATTTGAATGTTTATTATTGCATTCTCGGTGCTACACTGGTCTGTTCAGTCTGGAAGTTTGAAAGAAGTGGACTATGAAGTGTGACGTCACCCAGAGCGTTCGGCTTATGGGTTATAGGGGCTAATTGGAAGCAGAGTTTCATATTAGGAATAGGAATTTCTTTACAGACAAAATAGCAAAATAAAAACACCAGGATCATGTAGAGTCAGTTAATGTGAGCATTTAAAGCATTTACCAAAATGACAAGCCAGACAGCAGCATTTACAAAGAGTGGGGTGACTATTTTTCACTTTAAAGTCAATTAGAGCCAAAGTCATTGGAGCTGGAAGCACCATCATGAACACTTCCTATTTGGGACACAGTGGCACATTAGCTATGTCCATTTATATACAGTCTATGGTCTGGACTCACCTGTAATGAGCAGTGAGTGAGGAAGCCCTGCCTCCTGGAGCATTTTCTGTACGTGTGAGTTGTACAGAGACAGAGCTTGGCCCCGCCCACTCTGAGGATTCACCAGGATCATCATACGACGGCGTGACGGCTCACTCATCACCAGCCCTGCAGACGAAAAACAGCAGCTGGTCACACACAGTCTACAGTCTGTGGAAAACTTTATACAGGGTCTTTTTGGTACAATAGTCCTGATCTGATGCAACTTATTGATTAGTGATTAAAAACAAAACAAAAAAACAAACAAAAAAAAACAAAACAGAGAGACAGAACATAAAGGTGAGCAGATTATAAAATTTGTGATGATAATATTGTGAAGGTTATGTTAAGGCTATGAACATGCAAAAAAAAACATGACAAAAAGAGCTGATTAAAAAAAGAAAATCAAATAAATACATGTATTAAGAATATTTTCTGTACTTTTTGGGTAATTCTGCAATCATTTCACATTTTTCTAACATTTAAACCTCAACTAAAACTTTTAAAGAACACATATTATGCTAAATCAACTTGCGTTTCAACACATTCCTGTTGGATTGGATCACATGCACAAAAAAATAATGAGATATCCAATTTTCTCAATGTCACCCACACCTATTTGAGAATCATACTTTATATTATACAATAAAATGCATCCTCATTCTTGTCTTGGCTAAACAAGATTCTGGGTTAAACCTCAAGATAGTCTAAAAGCCCAATTATAGAATGTATTGTCATGATGTAATGTTGGTACTTCTTTGTTGGTACTTTCTTCTTTCTTTGCTTTCTTGTCAATCTAGAGTTGTCTATGTAATACTGTTAAAAAGCAGCAATGTGCCCTTCATGCTTCAGTGACATTTATTCAGTAGTAAGGCAACAAGGTCTGAGAGGATTTCTACATGTTACACAGAGTTATAGGAAACTACAAGTGCAAATCCTAAATCTTTTTAAAATACTCCCTAGATTATGATCTCCGCTGGCTCTACATCAGGTTTAAACGGAGGAAGATGGTTTTGAATATATTTCACAAGAGCTGAGCAGACCGTGGTATTCTGCTACTGAAGTTCAACATTCAATAGGAGTCATTATGTTTTTTTTTCCCAGGTATAACACGCAGTAACCACTTCCTCACAAACAGAACCACACGTGACACCACACTCTTCCTACTTTCAAATAGTCTGTGTGGAGAGTCATCTGAACAGGTTTGACAGATAAATGACCACTGACATTATCTGCTACAGACCTGGGTTTGTTTTGAGGCTCGGAAAGAAACAGTTACTCAGAAGGAATGCAGAGAAACAGGTCAGAAAACGGCTCACACACCTCACCTGCAAGTACAGGTACACACTTTAACCTCCAAGGAGAGCTTTATTCAACCATGGAAATGATAAATATTTGGAGAATTACATTTGAATTGCTTATTTAAGGTGTTTATGTTCTGGTAAAGTTAGAGTAGACCAGAAAAATGACAAAGACATGTCTACTCTGAATGGCCACACCTTTTGATCCAGTAAAAGCAGTCCTAGCATTCCTGATGGTGTAGTAATGATGATACTACATGAGAACTATGCCGACAATGTTACCTGTACTCAAAATAAAAATTTTAAATTGAATCTTTCTAAGGTGTGCCCAATTTAATGACTAATTTCATAACTTTGAATAAGATTTTAAAGGTGCATTGTGCAACTTTTCTCGTGGCGGATCCGTAAAATGCTTTTTTTTTTTTCATGGAAATGTTATTGTTTTGCCTGGAATGCTTCACAGTATGGTATTAAACCCTTCTACCTTCATGGAGACCAAACCAGACCAAGTTAAAGGTTAGATTGGTATTGAATAAATGTAAGGTAGAGCTGATTAATGTCATACTGTGGAACATTCCAGGCAGAGCAATGACATATCTATAGAAACAACCAGGTGACAGACTCCCCATCTTTCTCCAAATTGTGCCCAAGTTTAACGATTAAGGACCATTTTTCTAACTTTGAATAGGCTTTTAAAGGTGCATTGCATAACATTTCTAGTGGATTGTCACCTGCTACTCTTTCTCTTTGGAAATGTCATTGATGTCTAGAAAGTTTCATAATATAGTTTAAACCTATTGAGATACACACAGGTTGCAGCACTACTCTACATTTCAATTCAGATCTGTGTCACCCCCATTGACATTGAACTAATTATTGAATTTTTGAGCAACAGAAACACCCGTGATGTGTAAAAGCTAGACTGATATGTTTAATGTCATATGGAACATTCCAGGGAAAGCAATACACATCTGCATGGAGACAAGCAGGTAGCAGATTCTACGCCAGAAAAGTTGCATGAAACAGTGCACCGTTAAGGACAAAATGTTATATTACTGAGTTGAAGAGAACAAGGAAGCAGGGACCTTCCCATGCTCCTTTATTGTGTGTGTCCCAAGGGAAAAGTGGGTGGTAAAACAGTAACACATAGGACATATTTTAGTGTGTTCCAGCTCACTGAAGTTTCACCCATATCAGCTGACCTCTGTATCAGCCTATATCTATTTAAATTACTTATTAACTGGTTTTGGCCCTGTTCGTGAAGCAGACAGATTAAAGCTGCTGAATGTCAGAGGATTGTAAATCTCAGGCTGTGACCCTTGTGCCTTGTGCTCAGCTCCTCTAAATTAAATCCTATGCCACTTCCGGTGAGACTCCCTTCCCCTTCTCCAAACATTCCTCCATTTATCTCCTTCAAATGCCCACTCTCTCTGCTTCCTGCGCTGTCATTAAACCAACCACTGTGGCACTCTGGCACTGAGCCAACCAGGGGCACATCCAAACTGCAAAAGATAATGTTTCTGAAAAAAGATTTATAGCAAAGACTTGTTTTGAAATTTAGAAAGAACTGACCTGTACCAAAGCATTAATTACAATGTAGTATGGTGTTTCTCATTTCCATAGTCTGAAAACAACAACAACAACAGAAATTGGTAACACAAATGATACTTTATGCTTGTAATATTGTCATAAACATATAGGAGTAACTGTAATCAGTACATTTTTATCAGGAGAAGTATTAATTGGCATTTATACTCCCAAACAATTGTATTAAATTAAATGATTCAGATATGGATTATTTAGTCTCAGTAAAAAGCTGGGGGAAACACTGGTAGAAAGCAGAGAGAATGGATATTACAATGGAGAGACAGATGCATTTTGGGCATTAATCAACTCAATTGATTAATCATAGTTATTACACTGAACGGTTATAAAAATGACACAGTTAAGAAGAAATGATGAGCGTGTTTGGTGTGTTTCTGGGGGAGTGAAATTTTCACTTGTGCAATGTGGTTCATGACAGCATATTTTGTGACAGATACATGTGAAGAATGTCTTAAAACACTCATGATTATTAGTTATTTATTTGTCAATTATTCCATATGAAATGATCAGTGAGAGGAATTAAATTGAATCTATTGCCGTAAGTAGAATTAATCAAACAGAGAATTGAACCCTGTAGATTTTGCAGTTCTGTGGTCAATTCTCCTGAAGGCTGAAGTTTTTCAATAGGACAAATATTTGGATAGATACAAATTATATTCCCTGTCATCTCTAAACATTATGTGACCGACCATCACCATTTCCTTTTTGTTGAACAGCAAAATTTCCTGGTGCACACACAGATGATGGTGCACATGATAAAATCACCACAAACCAAACAGAAAATCTGTCCAGACAGCAACAAAATGGTTTCCCTGAATCTCCAGTCTCCCCTCGATTAAAGACATGGGACTGTCTCAGATCTGGGTGTGGTAATCACAGTGAGGCATCCACCAAAGGAAACGACAACTCAGAGGAGAGGGAAAACCAGAATAAACACATCTCCAACAGGCTCATCATATAATATTTGGGTGTAGAAATAGACAGAGGAGAAACAGTTTGTGCAACAGTGCTGAAATGTGTCCAGTTGTGCGTCTGCTCCCATCAGTCACACAGCAAAATTAGCACTAATTACATGCTAGCTACGTCCAATTTGCTCTGTGCAACACGAGCTAGCCCCCCGTGTCTGAACGCTAACAGTCACTTTTATTAAAATTGCCAAATATAAAATAAACAAGCAATTCAAATTAAAATATATTGAAGTAAAAGCTACCTTTTTTTTTTTTTAGATTACTTCAGTTTGTGGTGTTATTTTAATATTTATTATACCTAGAATTAGCATTAGCATTGAGACACAAATATCATGTTCTCCACTGAAGTATTCATTTTATTTGTGTACTTTTTAACATGTTGTCATTGACATCCACCAACAGATCCCTGTTCATTGCCTTATCTTTAAATGTTTATTAATTTTAGCTCCACTCAACAAAACACCCACAGATACACAATTGGGCAACAAGTAGTGACGCTAACAGTGAGGTTACTGGGCGTTGTTGTTATTTTAATAGATCCATATTGTTGTGCACAGAGCCTATTTGTATTTAAAGATTACATTTTAGTGCCGCACGAAAACGAATACACTTAAATATACTTACAGCTTCTTGTAAGAAGTTATACATTTACAAATAAAGTTATACTCTTCTGTTCTAGTTCAAAGGAAACAGATATGGCAACCAGAAGATGTTTGAATGAGCTGGAATAATTGGATTATCACTCACTATTTCTCTTTTTCTCTATGGAGCAGATATGAGAACTTTCTGGGATGTGATTCTAGCTTAAACCATGCACCGACCAGTGACCATACTGTGTTCAAAGGCAACTATTATTCTGATGTTACTGTGTTGTTGATATATTTACTGTTACAAAATAAATTTTGGTTAATATAATAAATGTACATTTGATGAAACTGTTGACCTAGCCTTCTATTTACTATTACTGCATCAGGCCCTGACATACACCACAGAGACTAAAGCCACTTTTTCCATTAGGATTAGTGGATTTACACCATGTATTTGACTCAATATTTGCTGTAATAAAACATTTGCATTTAATGATTAATTACTTATTGCTTGTTATTAACTCTTTTAGTATTTTAAAATATAAAATTTCTTTTAATTTATATTTCAAAATCACAAACACAAACATATACTTTATGTTCTTTGATACTTTCATTACAAGACCTAAACCGATAAAAGTTAGTTCTATTCAAATATAGATGGGTATATGATGGGTTATATGGGTATATGAGCTAAATAATTAGGGTTAATATTTTTGCATGTACAGTCAATGGAAGCCTAAATTCACTATACCTTTTCCTGATAGGGTCAGAACCCTACAAAACTATGCTCTATTTTGTGTTCATGTTTTTTTCCAAATGTCTGGAGAGATGACATGTCATTTGAGTAGACTAAATAACTGCATGCTTGCGCTAAGCTAATAACAGCCATTTAAATCTGCACAATGTGTGTGGCTTTGGTCTGTTTTGTATGATCTTGCGCCCATCAATCATTCTGAGCCTTCACAGTTTACACACAGCACATTCAGCCCTTCTCTGCTAAAAGAGCATCAGTAGCACTCATATGGGTGATAAAACTCCCCGCCATTATAGTGTGTGTAAATCAAAGGGCTCAGAGACTACACAGCGGAACAGAGTTTTACCCAGTCTGACCACAGGGGCGTGGAGGGAGGAGCGTGAGGTGCTCGTGGTTTGGGCTGTGTAGGGCCTATATTAAGAAAGGCAGACTTCCCCCACACTGAGGTTTCTCTTGAAATCATTTTGCATTTTGTGTCATTCACTTCTGTGCAGAGTGACCCATAAATGTACAAAAACATATTTGGACCTGATGACAACCACAAATCCAGACAAAGACAGTCGTAAGTCAGTGTAAATATTGTTGCATTAGTCCCAACTAAATATGAATAATCTGCATTTTGAATTATGATCTATAGACACCAGGGTTGTCATAAGTAGGATCCTATTATTTTCCTACATTATATTTATATACGCAGTTAAAAGTTCATGCCGGATGCCCCCTGACATCTTGGATCCATACTTTTGGTGTAAATGCAATCCATAAATGCTCATTCATACCAAACCATTCTGCGTCAGTGGTAAATTTTTAAACATTGGCCAGATCCAGATGACAAAAACTCACCTCAGTTTAGCATGACGTTATTTGTGATTATATATAAAATGTACCAAATATACAGTGCAGTGTGCCAGTATAAAAAGGAAATGGACTTTGGTTTAAAAGCCACACCACATGTTCTTTACTCTTTTTGAGGTCAGCCAGCTGCTCTGAAGGCAGAATGCTCATTTGCGGTCACTGTTGTTGTCGGCAAATCACAGAAAACACAAGATGAGGCCCTTTCTGAGAATAGTATACCTCATTCCCCTGGTAGTATATACAGTATAGCTGGTTTTGGGTGGATAAAGTTTAGTTTAGGTCAGGGGTAGGCCTGTCACTGTAAATACTGTATTGACTGATCGTTCAATATATGAAAGCCTGAATGTTTTTGCTGTTCAGATTTGAGCTGTTTAAAATGGTTTGTTGGAATTATCATTTATTGCAATATTTCTGTAGAAGCATATCACACTTCAAAATTTGTTGTGATGACAAGCCTGTGTGTGTTGTTATGTAACACAGATATTTCAGAGTATAAAAGTTTACATAAATTCAGGTTATTGCGCTTCTACATTAAAATTCCTTAAATGCAGCCCTATTTGTTATATGATCTGTGCTACGATGGACATGACCACTGTTTACTAAAAACACTAGTTAGACCTAAGTTGATCCCTGCCTACACCTAATATTAGATCTGTTTATGTTATGTTTTCCCACCATTTGAGTGTAGATTTAGTTCATGTTCAGGCAGAATTCATCTAAAATTAATCTTAAAATTGCAGGCTTAGGCCCGCTTAGTCTTAGTGTTAGGTCTTTCGTGGCACTTAATTTCATAAGCCATATTTCCTTGGTTAACATTTTCCTTTTAGTTTAGGCCAGGGTTAGCCACGATAATTTTAGTAATTTGGTATTTACTGAACAGCAATGGCTTTCACTGCTTAAATTGCTTTGAGAGGCTGAGAATAATTGGCGATAGGTTTAAATTATGACAGAGGTGGGAATAGAATATATTAAAAAGGGAAGCTGTTATGAAGATTTAACAGTTTGTCTGTGTCCATAGCAAAATCCTCCAAAGACACGTACAAACAAAAAATTACAAATGTACTATTAGGTTTAATTAAAATAACAGGAAAACTGAGGTGTAAATTTGTTCAAAATACAAAATCAAGGGCAGTAAAAATACCTAATTTGTAAATAATGGTCAAAAATAATAGTTTCTGCATCTTAAACTTTCTTTAGCCTTTGTGGATGGAATACGGTATGGTTATTAATATTCCAAAGTAGCACTGTCTGATATCTTGCCTACAGGAGTTCCCATTCCTCATAATGTTTTTTCATTCAAGCAGCACTGTCTGCATCGTGACTGTGGTAGCTGTATTACACAAAGATGACTACATTTTATAATGTCACATATAAACAGAAATATCCACTATGAGCTTGCACTTTTCTAAAAGCATAACGCAGCTGACTCATCCTAATAAATTTGCTTGCAAGAAGTGGGCATAGATATTGAGATATTGATGCAAAAATGGCAATGAGAAATTTTTTTAAAAAGAGTGTTTTCTATTATAGAGTTTGTATCAGTAGTCTGGCTTTGTAACTTTAGGCAAGTGAGATTTTAGGTTTATGATTTGATTTGCCCATTGCATTCAAGCTCAAATTAAATCAATTTAGTGATGCACAGGTCAATACTGTTATGACATATTTGACAATGTAACGGAAACATCAATAGTTTTTGAAAGGAGAGGTCTAACATGTGTGCATGTGTACATAAAGACACTTCACTCACGATATCTGTCACCTCAATCCTTTTGTTAAGTCTTGTCTATGCTATTGTATTAAACAGAATATCGACATCACAGTGTTTCCTATTAAACAGGACACTATAGTGGCCCCCAATAGTCTAAAATAGTCCCCCATAACAACCTGGACTACATTGGCTTAACAAAAAAGAGACAACACTGGTCAAAATGACTGTTTAAAGGTAAAATATAGGCAGTAAGTGACATTTATATCTCACAATTTGAATGAGATTACATTATTCAAATAAAGATTATTTGTGCCACCATAATATTAACAATATATATGGAAAACTGTGCATCATCATAACATTTATTTAATTTTTTAGGATAATCCAGGAGCAGGAAAGTTACAATGGGACATCCAAGCCCATTAATCTTTATGGAAATGATTAAAGCCTGCATCCAAGAGGTTATAAAATCAGATTTTAGTGTAAAGTATAAAACACTATTATTGTTTTACTGTCAGGTGTGGATTGTTTCATTGTAGTTAAAAGACAGGGCAATACATTTGTACTGGGCTAAAACTGGTCTGGTCACTGTCTCAGGTTGAGCTGTAGAATACGCTGCCTGTAACGTACACTTACTCCAGTCTTCTCCTTTGTGCATACACAATGAGAGCCAGTATAGGGTTCCACTGGATTTTATCTGGTTAAGAAATCCACTACATTGTGCAATTTGGAATATGCTGTTTGCTTTGTGTATTGCTATTAAGAGGTGTGGTGTGGATGGCTTTATCCAGAGCCCATCACACCAGAAATATCGTTCTGATGTTTACTCCGTGCGTGACCTTTTACAACACGTCTTTAATGCTACAGTGGGTTTATTTACCATTTTGAAATAATACTCTACATCAGCAGCCGTATTGTTTTATTCATGAACAGTGGTCAAAGGTTAAGAAAAGTGCAGCCTATGACGCAGGGACTATATCTGTTCATGTTACACCTTCGGGCAAGTCCCACTATGCAAATATAATATAACCTTTTTGCTTCTGCTTTTATATTGAAATGACTTGTGGTTTAGATAAGCCTAGCACTACGCCAAGTATCTTTCAGGTCTGCAGCAGGAATAATAAACAAAACCAGTGGTGGCATATAGGCAATTAGAGCCGACTTACAGATGAGTTTTTCTTCTTGGCAACTCCTATAATTACATAAGGCTTGCAATTAGGCTGTATTGAGGGGCCAAATTAAAGGTGCACTGTGTAACATTTCAAGCAACAGAAACACCCATAATGAATAAATGCTAGATGGATATGTTTAAAGTCATACCATGGAATATTCCAAGCAAAGCAATAACATCTGCACGGAGACAAGCAGGCAGAGGACCCTTCGGCGGAAAAGTTGCGTAGTGCACCTTTAAATACAATACAAAGATATGTTGTAGACTTTTTATAGGTTCTGTGCGATTTATGCAAACGCCTGAATAACCCGTCACCATTGCAAAAATGGTCAAAGCAGGTATTGTCTAGTTATGTACTATAGCCTAATATAGGGCTACACTCCACAAAAAAGTTGTATCAGAGCACAAACAATTGCTTTTAAAAAACAAAAAAACAAAAAAAACAAACAACTTTTGCCACGTGAGAAAAAACAGACACAGTCACTTTTCTCTTTCTCTCTGTCTCTTTTCTTACAGACCCATAATTTACCCCGAGAGTTGCCATGATTTCTTACCGTCTCTCAGATTCTGTTGCCGGGCAGATCTCTCCCTGACAGCCCGGGCCCATTTCTCTGCTTCTTCCAGGTTGTAGCGCGGGTCTTGCAGGGCAGCGAGCCGAAAGCCCTGCTCCACTCGCTGCCTGGATGTCCCGGAGCTCATCCAGCGCTTTCTGAGTAGGTAAAAGTACGCCGTGAAGTACGCAGCCGGGTCAGAGTTGTCCTCTCCACGGTGCGCCCGGGACCCCACGCAGTCCTTCAGGTTCAGGACCACCTTGTTCCGCTGGACAGGTGCGGATGACAATCTTTGGACAATAAGCTCCTTCCCGGTCAAACTCACCGCGTACCGGACTTTTCTGTTGCCGATGGCCGTGAACTCCCCGTAGAGAGTCACCGGGCTTGTGTCAACGCCGCGGTCCTGTGGTCCTCTCTTCGGCTCCATCCTGACCGGACCGAAGTAGAGCACACCTCCTCTTCACATCGCTGCTCACAGCGGGGTCTGACTCTAAACGCGAGCCAAGCGCAGAGTGGAGACTGAGCAAACTGCGCCAGGGAGGGCAAGAGTGAGGAAAACTCAACATCCGGTTTGATCTGTCATAATAAAACATGAGATCAACTCCACACCATAGACCGTACACTCCAGACCATGGCATGGAAGTAAGAAGAAGGTCTTTTAGACTTTATTCACGCTCTTCCCCCGAGTTAGTTAGTAAATTAATAACTGGTCCTAGAAAAAAGTGTAATTTGAATCTCCTTTCATGTCCAATTCACCTTTATTGCTCCATCCAGAGATTGTGGCCTATTTCAAAGGACCAGGATGCATACCCAGTCTAAACATGTTTAAATGTCAAGTGTTCACAATTATAAACCACAAGATCTATATAAATTTAATTAATTATACTGTAATTATACAAGCAAATAGCAAAGCAAATAAGGCAGTGCAGTGGACGAACGCACTCCACTTTTAATCATGGTACCACCGTAGACCTCCTAGAAAAACAATGTTCAGAGCCACCACTATTGTTTGTTTCATGACTTGAATGATTTTGGAAAATCTGGGAAAATCATCCTATACAATGATCATAAACAATGCAATATGCCCTTCATCATAAAACCACGTAAGACATGGCCATATATTAATGACGACTTCATTCATTTGTAAGTTGGGATAGATTTATTTTTAGTTTTATTTTCTGGATTCTGTGTGTATCTCCGCGTACTTAACTTATTGAAACTTGTCCGCAGTTTGCCAGGATTTTCAGATTTTCAATGCACGCTGGTATTCTTTTTAGGTTGTCTACTGCCATCCAGTGGAGCATTTTTTGAGGCTGATTTTTGATTGACAAAGAGAAGAGTCTGGGCTCTATAAAGAAGACTGGCTAGTTAACTTGAAGGTGGTTTACACACTCTCTCTGTAATCACTTGCAGTCTGTGTTGAAATACTGATGGACCAGCCTCATCTGGACAGACCCTGACTCCTGCTGGATCACTGACTAAGACGTGGACTGATATTAGGCCACAGCTCTCATACCATATTACCATACCATATCATACCATACTGTTGCCTGCCACTTCAAAGCAGCATGTTATTAAATATAGGCCACTTATTAAATATAGGCCTATTGCAGCATCCATTTTCGACTCGGTCTAAATGAATTCTGTGTTAACATCGACTCCTTGCTATGACAAAGAACACAATTGTCGTTTTTTAAATTTTATTTCAGACTATTAATGATTTATTTGCTTATTTAAGACACAGAATAATATATTATTGTAGGCCTATTTGCTTATTCTGTAAGTTAACGTTTCTTAATTGTTGTTTACCTTGCTGCACTTCCACCAATTACCCAACAGATGGCAGTGTTGGGCTTCCAAACAAACAACTGGAGGTACACGTTAAGTACCATGCGCCATTCCCAAATGTTCTGTCTTATTTCTGGTTCAGTAATTGAACTAATGATCAGCTGACAACAACGTGCAACGAAACGCCTGATTACAGCGTAGTGGATCCGTCCAGTGTCCGCCATGCACTCTAGCCTATTTACAGACTTATTTAGTTCATCTCAATTAAGAATATGGTATGGCAATTCAAGGATACGTTCGTAAGGGTGATTTGTTACATCTAAAAACATAAGTATTACTAAAAAAGAAAAAAAATGTTATAATAAATTGTTTTTGTGCATTGAAATATCAGCCATGCCTTTAGAGAATTCATAAATCTGGCTTTTAGGGTCAAATAGCTCTGAGGAGTAACCGTGGAAACCTGTAAAAATGTGTTCTGCAGAAAATGTACTTGGCCTCTGAACAGTGCATTCATGTAGCCTACTGATAAAAGAAACAGAAACTGTTTGTATCAAAAATAAGACAGGTACTGTGTGTACAATTAAATTCTATAAACATGACCTAAACTGTGTCCTAGATACAATATATACACACGCTCAAATCAAAGAGTCCACAGCTTTTACACGGTTACATTTGTGGTGCTGATTTATTCTTAATTACAAAAAACAAAACACAAAACAAAACAAAAACACTGGATGGTCAAGTTGTTAATTTTGTAATTTGGTGGTTTGATTGATTTTTCCAATGAGAAAGCAGAATAAGCCTCACAGGAGTCTCTCATTTGGCTGTTCCAATGCTGAAGTCCAGCTGGTTTAAACCTAAATGGTCTCTCTTTGATCTAAAAACTTCTACCTTGGGTTAAGGCAGTGGCATCCCAGGTTCAGCTGTGTCTGTAGTACCTTTTTAAATCTGAACAGAGGAATACACTTCATTGAAGAGTGGCTGGATTTTGGTTCTGAAAAGGTCATCACATTGTCTCCAGTGTCCCTGCATGCTGGTCTGTGACTGAAAGTCTGTGAGAGCAAACTGCAGGAATTACAATTACAATTTGGCGTGTTTATATCGTATGTTCATTAGCATGCACTGTCTAAACCAAATAAACAAAAACTGTCATTCTTTCACTAGGATTTCTGCCAGTCCCATGCCTGGATAAATGTGAAATGTTGTTTAAAAACAGAAATGGGTAAAACCTATAAAACCGTACTCTCTAGGTCGTTTTCAACATAAAGAATTCATCTGATCTCTAATACTTAGTTTGTCTTTCTAATCTTTGTGTAATCTGCATATCAATGCCTCCGAGATGAAAAAATGTCATTAACTTCATCAGTGCACAGTAGTATTCCTCATGCATTTATATTGCCTTTGATAGAATTACAAAGAAGTTTGCTTGGTCAAATCAAAGTCATCCTCTCACTCTTGTTGTTGTTGTAGTGCTGACACAATGTTGCAGGCTGAAGAGGAGGGGGCTTTCTGTACAGATGGGAATTACTGGTCCCAATAAGCACCTGGAGCCCGGGGGAAATGAGATTATCTTATTCTCATTCAAGTCGTGTGCAAAATCACCCACTTCACGTCATGCAGCATTCAGGTAAAATCACCTCATACTTTAACCATTTACAACTGGCATTCAAGCTATCTTTTTACCATATTATGTAATTTTCTGCACGTGGCTATGCAAAACCGCAAGCATGTTTTTGAGCACGGGATCATTACACCATACGATGGGATCCGCAACAAAGGGGCCCTTTCAGTTGCGACTGCAGGCTCAATACTGATTTCCTAAAAGCTATTGATTGAAAATGGCACAGCTGAGGAGTGAGGCATGAATAGAGACAGTGGCGTATACAGATGTTCGCAGTATTGCCTCGAAGGGAAGAGGGCCTCAGTATTTCTCCCATATGTGCAGTGCATAGTTCAAGGAGGTTTCATTTCATCTGAAGAGCGGCTATACCTTCCACATACGTGCCCCAGTTTGTGTTAATTGCTGTTAGTATACTGTAAGCCACCTGTCCAGCTGATGAACAGGGTCTGAGATTATAGCTGATCTGTTAGTTGTGGTGTAATTTACATTCAGAATGGTATTTTAAACTTGTTTTAAAGTCCTTTATTACACAAAATTGACTCTTGTGAGCTTTAATCTATGTTATAATGTTGTTACTTCCTCAAAAACATACTTGAAGTTGTGTTTTGTTTCATTCACACATGTTTGTTATTAGTCTGTCTGAATCTCCCAAACTCAAAATATATAGTAATAATATAATATAATATAATGTCAAATAGTAGTGGTTTTCAAGTTAACAGCTACCTTTTACCTTTAGTTCAGTAGAGATTGGCAATTCCAGGTCTAAAATAATCTAAATGATGGACTTTTTACAGCTCTCCCATCAGGCAGAAAATTGCGCCATCTACAGGTCAGGACCACGAGACTATGGAACAGTTTTTATCCTGATGCTGTGAGACAGATCAATTCTGTCAGAAAGCCCAGACACTAATGCACCTTACAAAACAGCACTGACTTGTAATGCACTTTAGAAAACGGGGGCAGGTGGGGGCTGTGTTTTTTAAAGACTGTATTTGACATACAATATTTTTAACAATTTTTTCTTCTTATTATCTATGCTGCTGTTGACCTGGACCCGAGTGCAGTATTTTGTTTCTGTGTATTTTTTATACTGAAATGACAAATAAATTCTGATTCTGATTCTGGTTTTGATTCTAGTGAAGATGTATGGAGTTTAAAAACAACAGAGCACTTCCTGTATTACCATATGACATCAAAAGGTGGAACACAGTTTTTCTTGTTTGAGAGAAGAACTCAGCCTAAAAATGCATGTGTGAATGAACAAAACACAACTTTAGGTATGTTTGTGATGAGAAAACATTAAACATTATACATAGATCAGAAAACAACATAATACAGGCCCTTTATTATATTGTAAATCTCTTGTTTTTAGTTAAACTTTAGGCTTGTGACAGGTGCATTCATGTTCTCAAATTTGTCACAATGAGGGCAGGGGGACTAACTACGGGAAGTACATTGTTCTTGCAAGAAATATTCAAACTTTAGACTCACAAATGTTGAACCTTATGATTATCTGTTGGGGAAAGACTTCACAAACCTGCCCTTAATCCAATGGCCTGAAGTCCTTTTAACTGACAACAATCTTAACTTCAGTCCAATGAGGTTCATATGGTTTTCTGATAATTTATGTTTTTAGGTTCTTTTTTCCCCCTCCTTGAACCGTCACCTTATCGTGGTGGAGGGGTTTGAGTGCCCGAATGATCCCGGGAGCTATGTTGTCGGGGGCTTCATGCCCCTGGTAGGGTCACCCAAGGCAAACAGGTCCGGGGGGACGGGTCAGACGAAGAACGGTTCAGAAGCCCCTATGATGAGTGTACGAGCAAGGCCAGTTACGTCGCCCGGATTGGCGTCACCGGGGCCTCGCCAGCGAGCGCCTGGTGGCCGAGCCTCCCCCCACGGGGCTCGGCCGGGCTCAGCCCGAAGGAGCGACGTGGGGCCGTCCTCACGTGGGCCCACCACCCGCAGGAGGATCCATATGGGGCCGGTGCAGAGAGATCTGGGCAGCAGTCGACGGCGGGGGCCTCGGCGACCGGATCTCCGGACATGGAGACTAGCTCTGGGGACATGGAATGTCACCTCGC